TGAATTCAACATGCACCTCATTGTCCTCTGCCCCCCCCTCTCAAGTTCACAGGGAGTCACTCCTGCTTGGCCTTTTTGGCGGCACGCGGCTTGAGCTGCTGCTTCCTCTTTCGCTTCTTGTCATTCTCCAACAACTTCTCATTGAGAGCATTCAATTCCACCTCCGGAAGACCCAAAGACTTCGCAATCTCATTCAGGTTGTTGTGCTTCCTCGCATTGCTCCACCAAGTCACGCTGGGAGCCCAAGGCTTCGGCGAACCGCTACACTTCTTGCGCCAATCCGGATTCCTGTATGCAACTCGACATGTCTTGCGTGCCCAACAAAGAGCAGGAGCCGCATTCAAGTTGCTAACCTTCCACTTTGGCTTGAATGGGAAACTCACAGGGACGTGCCCAAGCTTCTCCGCCTTCGCAATGGTCTTGCGCTTGGAAGTTGCGATCAACTTCCGCCTACCTTTCTCAGGGTTCTTCTTGTTAGCCGCCCACCTATACTTCACCAAGTCAACCTTCTTGTGCTTTTTGCTGCAATCATTCAACAAATGCGCCCGCTTGGAAATCCGAAGGTGAGAAGCAACTGTCACATGAACAGGGAGACACTTCTCACAATACGGACAAACAAAAGCAGCATTCTCAGCTCGAGACTCCTCCGGCACGCTGACAAAGGGAGTAGGTTGGTAAAACAAACCAGGGCCAACTCCAGCGCGCTTTCCACTCCTACCAAACTTCTTCTGCATAGCCAACCTTTCCTGCACCCAAGTGCGATGAAACCGCTGGATGTGCTTCGTGATCCCGTCGCTCTTCTTTGGAAGCACCTCTTTGCAAATTGGGCATTTCCAGGAGTCAATCGCCTTGTCCTCCCAGGAAAAAGACACCGCACTTTTTGCAGAAGAGCAAGTGCGCATCAGATCCCCAGACCATGATTTCTGGCTAGAGCATGGTTTCAACCAAGAATCCAACTCATCCTGAGCTTTTGAGCTTTTCAACGGGGTTTGAAAACCAGCCGCCACAAGCAATTGCATGCCAGCATCAACCGACGCATTGACATCTTTCTGCTCATTTTCTACTGCTTCGCCTCCTCCTCGAAAAATCTGAGAAAAAGAATCCGCCTCTTGACTGACAACGATGACATCATCATCAATCCCCTTTGTAAACCAAAGCCTGTTCTTTGCACCAGCATCAGCGGCCGCTTCAAGCCACTCTTTGGCAAAGGACTTCGCCTTTGGCTTCAGCAATGCAAAGAAATGGCCTTTGCTAAGAACCACAGGAATCAAAGGAAAGCGCTTGTAATTGGGATCATCTGGGGAAATGAAAGCAACGCGCGACCACCCCTCATCATCCTCCTCATCCGAAGGCTGAAAAACCACAATGTTGACTCGCTTAGGACAGGCAACGGCTTGAAGACCATAACCGTCAATCCACCTCAAAGGACGAGCCAAAGCGCTCTCGAAATCGGCCAAATTCTGAGCCGGTTCTCCTGCTTCCGTTTCTTTGGTGGAATTTGCATCTGGGACCCAACGCTGCTTCCATCCAACTTCCACGTTCAAAAGAAAATGCACGGCCTGAGTTCGCAAACTTTTCCCTCTCACTTCAACTTGGGCCCTCACCTCATCAACCGTCTTGGCCCCCTTGGCACTCTGCATACAAATGGAAAAAGCAAGTGAGCGCCAACCACAATCCCCACGACCACCACAATCAACCAAAAGAGTGCTACCAGGCCCTTTTGAGCCACCCTTGATCAACCTCTCAACTGGAGCCCGAACAGGAGCCTCAATGCAAGGCTTCTTCTTTTCAGGCGACTTAGCCCCCGCACTTTTCTCTTTTCTTTTCTCATCCGGCTTTACTTCAGCCTGTTGACCTTCTCCAACATCCATCTTATCCTCCTCCTTGTCAATGACGGTAGCCGCAATCTCTGGGCTAAAGGACAAAGTGGGGCTCCACCAAGTATTGCCAGAGATTTTCTCGATCTTCTCATGCATTTTCCTCAATTTCTGCCATTTCCTGGCCACAAAGTGCCTAGACGAGGAACCCAAAGTGACATCGTAGGCAAAGGTCTCCTTATCATTGTCCTTCGCAAATTTCCCCTGAAAGGACCAATGGGCTTTGAGGCAAATTGTGAACTTCCCACTCTTGTTGCACAAGCCAAGCTTTCAAAGTCTCCGGACCCCAGGAAGAAGGAACTCCAAACACAACCCAAGCACGGAGTTTGGTGGAGCTATCTTCCTTGCATCTCACTCCCAACTAGGCACCTCCTCCGCGACGAAAGGACAGAGCGACATCCTTCTTCTAAGGCTCTTTGCAAATAATTCGAAGGCTTCTCATTAGCCAAAGGTTCCAACCATGACACATCAGGCATGCGAGTCACAGCTGAAGCAAGCTGATTGACAAAGATACCCCCATTGCCACTCGACTTCAAAATTTTTGCCACTTGATCTTTTGGAACTTTGATGTACCCAGTGACTACTCCCCCTTGGCTGCACCACTGAAAGGTTCGCACCTCCGAGAGACTACAACCGAGCAACCCCAAACATGCGGACGGCTTCTCCAGGACCAAGGCCGTATTCACCTTGTCCAGGAAATCCAAGCCAATTGTTACCCTCAAGGTTTCAACGTCTTTCACTTCAGCCTTGCCAACAACCTTAGTAGGTGCCACACCTGCAAGTTCAGGGGACTCACCACTAATGCACGCGACCTGAGCTCCAATCAAGGCAAGGTTGCCAATGCAAGGAAGCATGATCGACTTAGCCCCCGGAACAGCCAATTGCTCATCTTTGACCTCCTTAGCGACCAACGTGAGCTTCTTGCTAATCCCATGGGCTTGAGCCAACGCCTGAATCTCCAACATCTGAGCACCATCTTTGCAGACACAAATTGCCCCCATAGGTTCAATGCCCTGCTCCAGAGCATGGATGACACTATGCACGGCCGCAATATCCCTCGCTGGAAAGCTGCGGCGCAAATCAAAGCGGGGCATGCTTGTCTCCTCCGTTTTGTTGCTATCACTTTTCTTGAGCTTGGAACTTGGATTGTTCAGAGCTTCCTTCTTGCTAGCCTCCTTTTTCTCAAAAAATTCCCTATAGAAGCTTTGCTTGTTGGACTTGGAAGAGCTAGACTCCGAAGCCATCTGCAATTTGCTCACCACCGATTTCAAAGAGCTCTTTACCTCAGACTTCATCGGGGCCTGCACACTCCAAGCTTCAGTGAGCTTCGCAAGCTCGGTCAGAGCTACCTCAACACCGTTTCCACTATCGTCTTCCGGCTCATCTTCGAAATCGTCCAACCAATTTTTCAGAAGATCAATCAAGGCAGAAATCTTCCTCTTTCTTTTGGTCGTTGCAGAACCAGCTGCTCCCCCTCTCAACCAGCCACAGAACTGGTTCCTTGCAGAATTTCGCACCTCTGTATCGACAGAAGCCCGGGTGGTCCACGAGGAGGAATCTGCTTGCACCCTGTTGAATCCTTTTCCTCCATACTTTCCTTTTCCTTTGTGGTTCACGTTGTAACTGTTGTACCCGTAGCCGTTGTGTCCTCCGTAGCCTTTGCCTTTGTTCTTTCCTTTTCCTTTTCCTTTGTAACTGTTGTACTTGCCTTTTCCTTTGTGGATTGCATCAATGTCCATGGGTGCTTGTCCTCCACCAAAGCTTGTTGCTACACTGGATGATTGTGGTCGTAATTGTTGTAGTTTGCTGAATGCTGTTGTTGATCTGTAGTACTCGATGATGGTTTGTTTGACTCGTGCATAGTTTGGGCTGTGTCCTGAAAGCAGTTGTAGGTGTTGTTGTAGTGGTCCACTTGTCTCGTTGAGCAGTACGGCAATCTTCACTGAGTCTGGGAGTGTTTGTCCGTTGTCGCGCTCAAATCTTTGTAGCTCAAATTCCCATGTGGAAAATGATTCTTCGAAGTTGTTCTTGTCAAATGTTGGCTTCAACAGTATTGTCAAGTGTCCTATAGATCTTGTCCCCAATGGGATGGAGAAGCGGATGCACAATTGTCTGTACATCTCGAAGCCAATTGTGTTTTGGTATTGTCTGCAGACTGTGGCTGCAGCTCCTGTTGTTGTGTTGATGAGGATGTACCTCAAGTTTGTGCTGAGGCGAACATGTCGTTCACCATCTTCGATTGTTGCTGCCGCTGCTCGTAGTTGTACCTCTGTGAGTTCTGCTGTGCCTCGTTCTGCTGCTTGTAGTAGTTCTGTGTAATCATTGTCTTGCCATCCCATGTATGCTGTGAACTTGTACTTCCATTCCTCGAACGTGCCATAGTCTCCATTGAAGAAGGGTGGTTTGAGTTTGTATCTGTTCATGTTTGCTATGTTTGCTGTTGTCTCATCTTCTGGAACTGGAGGTAGTCCATCTCCAGCTTGAGCTGCTGCTTGTTGTGCTGCCATTGTTGCAGCTGTGCAAGCTACCTGTTGTAGGGTCAAGGCTTGCTCTCCGTTGTCTGTATTTGTGGGCTTGTTCCTGTTGTTGTATTGGAGCTCACCTGGATTGTTGTTACCAGGATCCTTGCTCCGCTACCATGTAAAATTCAGCAGCTGTTTGTTTGTCGTTTGTTTGTGCACGTCTCTGTATTGTTTTCCTCTGGCAACTGTCCTTAGGCTCAAGGCCTCGATCCAAGGTGCATTGTACAGCACCGTGCAATTGTACATGAACAGTACGATGGAGTAAATGAACTATTGTAAAAGAGCTTGTCTCTTGACATCCCCCTCAGTCTCCCCCTCCTCTGTCTCCCCGTGTCTATCTCCCAAATGTTTATCTGCAGTGTCAACGGCCGAGTGATAAGTACACGGCCATTCACCCCATCACATCAACAAGAAGGTGGGGAGAACCCGGCAGTAACGTTTATAAATAGAATCTAAACTACTGAGTACAGTATATATAACTAACTTTATGGCATACCCGGCATACCCCTCAAAATGCATTAACCTTCGCCCTTCCCGCCGACCAAGAACAGCGCGCTGCCCTCAGGGCCCTCCAAGCGGCTTCCCGTCCAGGTCTCCCCACGGGCGCAGCAGTTCCCTGAAGGTCGCAGCTGCGGAGGTGTCCAAGCTCCACCTGTGGCGCCCCCGGAACAACGGTGAAGGCTCAGGTGCTGGCAGAAGAGGATCCTGTGAACGGTTCTCATGAGTTTGGCACGGCTCTTATGAGTCTGTCGGCTTGGAGCTTTGGTTGCTCTTCTGCGGCCTTCAGACCCCTGATCGTGGGCACCTCGGGTGCGCGCCCACCATGGCCAAAAGCACCTCTCCAGCAGTCATGGTCACCTGACAAAGGCTTCGAGCTCATCCCTGGGCTCTCCTTCTGGCTGAAGCTGGGCAGTTGATTGATCCGGGGCTGAAACGAGCGACGCCTCCGATGGTAGTTTCTTCTCGAAGGTCCCAACCAGGTGCATCACTTGAACTTATTGGTGGGTTTGAGGTTTTGATATCTATCAGCTAAAGAATGGCACGGCCGACCCACAGTCATGTGCACAAAAAATACAGTAGACTGGGAATGGCGCCATTCGCTGGAGATCCTTCACCCATGGGATAACGCGGAGAAAAGCACACATGTAAAACAAATTGTGAGCTAGAATAAACCAATAAATAATATGTAAATGTACTGTAAATACTACTATGGCTGACTGTAGGTTGTACATGGTAGCACTGATCCCTGGGCCTTCCTGTTCTTGCTGGCCAACGCTTGAAGAAAGTCGGCCACGTTCCTTGAAAGCATGGGTTCTTGTTCCAGCTCAAGGCACTTCAGTGGGTCCAAACGGACTTGAAGCAGGTCACGTCCAGAAATTGTGCTGGGTTCTAGGTTCTTTTCGACAGTGTTCTTAATTAAAAAATAACATAATATATGTGTTCGTGTCTATCCGTTAGCTCTGGTCTTGATTGATCCCTTGGAGTTTGGGCGCCACACGCTGGGCGAGGGGAAGAGCAGCCGCCCCAGGTGACGAGCTGACGCCTGGGTCGGCCCCGAAAAACACATGGATCTTCAAGTCGATTCAGGAAAAATAGCCTGTCAGCAGGGTTCTGGGGGTTTTTGGCTTGATGGAATGAACGACTCCCCTGCAACAAGCAACTACCAAACCACCTTCGCGTCAATGCGGAGACAAAATACACTTGAATATTGAGCTCAACTGGTCGAGCATTCAATCAGTTGTCGAATCCCGAGCATTAGCCCTTTACCACGTTAGCCCTTTAGTGCAAAACACCGGATTTGGAACAGCTTGATCCTTACTTAGAGCACAGAACAGAACTCGCTTTACCAAGCCGATGCAAGCCGATGAAAGGGACGAAGTCTTGTTGTAGTTACAAGCAGGGACCAGGGAGAAATTAGTTCAATTGCGGGTACGTTTTCAGCACCACACCACCAGGCTCTTCGTTGGCCACTCCCTGGTGGCCCCCGCTGCTAGTACTACAACTGTACATTCATAAAGTTGGAACAAACTCGAAAGAAGGATTCTGCGAGCCCTTTGAAACATGGTGACGCACACACAAAGTGAACAATCTTCAACCTCACCTGACTATGCTTAGAAAAGAGCCGCTCCATGCTGCGGCACCGGACAAACACAATAAGTTCCCACACACACACACACATCCCCAATTCATAATTTCATAGATACATTTGCAAGAACTGACAACTCTGCAGCCAAAAGGCTCCGCTGTTGCATCCGGCACTGGCATCTTCGGAGCTTCTGGTGAGCCCTGACGTGTCTGCGAAAGGCCTTGAACCTTCGAGGGTATCCGGAGGGTGACTTGAACAAAGATTGAACCGGAATGAGAGTATGTCATGAGTATGTGTTATGTTTAAGATTAGAGAAAGCCTATAAAGATTGGCGCCACTTATCAGTCGCGTGCCTTTCAAACCTCCGAACCACATGGAGCAACCAGTGGCACCACGGTCGAGCTGTCGCGGCAGGTTGCAGAAAGGATCTTTGTCGCAGCGGTGCATCGCGGTGCAGCGAGCGATCAAAGAAGGGAGGTCTCAAACCCAACGGCGACGTCTCAGCGCAACCCCGCTTTGTTGGAACATTCTTAACATTCTATCGAGTATTTCGTGGCCCCACCTAGGAGGAGACCTCCCTGCTCTTTCAATGGAGGCGTGGCCAGAACCGAAGGGCAAATCCATCATAGTTTTTGGGGGGCGACCGCCTTGGGGCCTGTCCGTTTCGCCTGTCACTGAGGAATACAATCTCCCATGATCAGGTCCTGGCATGGGGTCGCTGGCTCAAAAAGGGGTGGGTGTCTCCACCTTCAAAGCTCCGCCATTTTCGTGGCACATGTCTGGAGCTCCTCTGCAGCGGTATGCAGGTGGTGCCCAGTCTGTCTAACAAATTGCTGAATGCAATGATTGGAATATGAGACAACTATATACTGAGACAACTATAGACTAGACAACTTCAGGTGAGGAGCTCCAAACAGAAGGACATACTTTGTTCCTGGGCTGATTTATTAGCCCGGCTCTTGCTTTGCAAGTGCCAAGCCAGCTTGGAAGGACCTGCCGCGATTGCAGCTTGCATCCTTGAAAGTATTTGGGTTGGACAATGCATTGGACATGGTTTGTGCCACGTTATCTTCATCTGCTCTGGTCATGGGATCATCCCCCAACCACGTCACTGTCGGTGCAGCGGTTTGCGTCTCCATCTGAGCGCCACGCCTCGCATCATCCAATTCTTCCACCCTCAAACGGAATTAGTAAGGGCTTCCTGTTTCGGTGGCTTGATTGGTTGACACACACACACACACCTCACTCCGCAAGTTTTAGCCAAGGCACGAAAAAACGTCGGAGAAAAGGAACAGCTCTCAGCCGCTCAGCCAGCCATGAGAGCACTTAAAACCCTGACATTTGCTTCTTGTAGCTGCAAGGTCATCTCCACCAACTTCTGTTTCGAGACCTTCGTCCGTGGCGCGGTCTTTCTTCTCTGGTTTTGAAAACCTGCGTGGCTTTCAGAGAGCCTAGAGGGCCCCCAAGAAACACATTTCTTGTCCTTTGTTCCTGGCATTGAAGGGTGAGAAATATCATCTTAGCCTGGTGAAAGACGTCTGTTCTTACTTCGGAGCCCATAGAGTTCACCCCACCTGCTGCATGTCGTCCACCTGGGCCGAATAGGCCTCCAGCGAGAACGCTGGAGAAAATGCGCTTGGTGTGAGGTTTTTGAAACGAAGATATCTGAAGATGGCGCCTTGCTTTTCACACCCGCCTGAAACACAAGCAACTCCATTCATTACAGTACCACCCAAAAACCTCTATTTTAAGAAGCATGGACCCTGCAGTTGTCAAAGGTGAAGGTTTTTCTGGCCCCACAGGAGCTTCCACCGATGGTATCCATGGCTGGAACACCCAATGCCTGTACCCCGTCTCGGCCTTCATGGCTTCCAGCAAGCCTTGCTGGGTTTGCAATAGCTGGACCAGTGGCACCTGCTCCCCAAAGGGGCCTGGAACTTCGAGAAATTCCATGGAAGTTAGCAGCAATCGTTGGTTCGAGTTTCTATTGCCATTGTCCACATTTCGGCCTTTATCCGCTCTGCTTGGTGAATGGTTAGCATCATCCAATGAAGGCGGCTCGTTTAGCATGGGAGTCCTGAGTGTAGCTGGGACTGTCAGGTCGTGCATGTGCGCTCCACCAGCGATGAGTACGAATGTGCAATGACCGTTGGAGTAATCGTTGGCTGAAATGAACTTCAGGTTCACTCAAGAATGGGATGACATCCAGAACTGGCTGGTTCCGAACAGGTAAGAATGTCCCCTTTTTTCCGCAAGTAAGGGCAAGGCAGCACGTTCAATCCTTTTCCTTGCAGAAGGCGGTTTTCACAACGGTGGTCGGCTGTCGGCCAGGATGATCGTGATGCGGGGCCAACCCGCCAATTAAATGCTGCCAGAATCTCGAAGTGGCAAAGGCGCACAACTGAAATGAAAGCAAAGCACAGTGGCATATATAGCGATTTCATCTAGGAGTGGGCGTGCTTGGACCTGGACCCACTAATCACCAATGACCCGATTCCGCATCTTCAATTGCACCTGCCTTAAACATTAAAAACAAAAAGGCGCAGCGTGGCGCAGCTACTCGCGCTGGAATGATGATCCAAAAGTCTGGGATGGCGCAGCACATTTAAAGAGACCAGGCTTTTAAAGACGCATTGTCTTCATGCGGGGTCTGCAGGCTCGCAATGTCGACTCCCATGTCGACTCCCCCACCTAAACAATGTGGTCGTTCTCTGGCTGAGTGCTTTTGGGCTGCAATGATGACCAATCAAAGGGCAAACCAACGGCCTGCATCAATTCAGATGCATCCCCGTGTCGCAGAACCAAAGCGTTCAGGTAGGAGTTGTTGCCACGTGTGGCCTCCATTGTTGCTACACCTCGCAATGTGAAGACTGAAAGGCATGCATTGAACAACTTCGCCCCATTTGCGGCTCGTGTTCCAATCATTCGAAACCTATCACTACATTCAATCATTCCATTTCATTTGAGTCGACCAACAAGCTGCTGCAGGAACGACGAAAACAAACCAATTCCTTCAAGTTGGTCGGTGAAAGGAGATGCTGCGACGAAAGTAGCAGAACAAGAAGCAGCAGGATTTCGCGCTGCGCAATGGTCCACATGAGCTGGAAGTTCATATTTGACTGAAGGAGGATCACAACAATACCCACAAGGAAAACCACGATCAAGCTGAAGATGTATGTCCAAATGAACACCCTGTAAAGACATCTCCGCTCTAAATCCGGGTAAAACGCAAAGTATGCCCCGCTTTGTATAGAGGTGCATCTTTGATTGCACGCCTCTACGACAAACATAACGATGCACATGGAGAAAACAATGCCCCAAGCCACAAGCAAAAAGGCATAGAACAAAGGACCATAGCGAAAACCATTGCCAATCTGGACTGACATGCAGCTGCTGGTTGCATTGAATGTGGGACTGAAGCTCGTCATTGCACTTCGAATGAGGTTGTTATTCTGATCAATGGTCTGTTGTTGCGTGCAACCGGGCATGCAAATGCAAGCAACCTCGCTGTTGTAGGTCTGTTGGATCATCGTTGAATAGATTGACAAACTGCTTATGCCAACAGCAATCACAGGCCGTAATTCCACCAGCGCAAAATGGATAAAGGCTGCTCCCACCATGGCTGCGGAAAATGATTATTACGTCTCCTCCAAGCAATTTACAGACCGGAGAAGCGTGTGTTGTTTTTTGTTTGGGCATGTTTGGGTGCATACATTCTCATATGCTTCATGATCTACAGTAAGTCAAGCTCATGGACTGTTGCAAAAATTGGAGGCAAATCCTTAAACAACTCCAGTGGTCTCGAAGACATTCAGACGCGTGGTGCCACTTGAAACAAGAATGGCGACAAAGCAACCACGAAGACTCGCATGTTGTATGGCCGCAATTCATGACCTACGACCAATGGGTAGAGGCTGATGTTACAAAATGAACTTACGCCGTTATGACTCAACTTATCATTATGCATAACTATGATATGGAAACCAGGTGCTTGTTGACAGGGAAAAAACCACTGGGTGCTGTCCAAAGCCTTTCGACTCATGCTGTGCACATGCCGTGCACCGTGCACCACCGTGCACGTGTCTTCGCTCGGGACCGAGCTTCGATCCATCAGACTTGAACTCGCTCTCCCTGAGAATCGGAACAAGCGAGGGGGGATGGGGCGTGCAAGGCAACATGCAACTACGTTGGAGCTTCCTTCTGGCCCAGGAAGGTGGTCAAGATAGGAAGCATTGGAAGATCATTCTATCCAAATCCAGTAAAGGGAACTGGTGATAGATTAGCACCAAAAGTTTGGACTCTCGTTGCTGCAGTGATTCTCTCGAACCGTGGCAGGCTCTTTGCTGGAGTTCCGGGACTCCAAGGCCTTAGGCAAACAAGTCACAAAACAGAAGCCTCACGCAGATAATTACTAGACACACTTCGGTCACAACATGTCACAACTGGTTTTTGAGCTATTGAGAACACATGATAACAAGTCCAAGCTTACGTGGGACGGAAGTTTACGGCGTACACCAGATTGCGCAAGGACAACCTTGAGGTGCGATTGAACCAAAAGGCGGCGCCATGCATATGGGTTGAGAATCAACGCCCGTGCTCAAGACTCAAGATTCGGAACGGAAGCAGCCATCCAACGAGACATATTGATCAAATGAGATGAACACGGCAAGTGATTTGAAGATTGGGCAGCCACCTCCTGGAGTCATAGGAACTGTGCATGTGTCTCCGTAAAAATTTGGCATTCGGGCTCTCGTGGCAACCTCAGCCCTCGAAAAAAAACTGCCAAGCCAGCCACGAAGTCAACAACCGAAGGCCAACAAAAGTGAAACAGTAACTATAGAAGAAACATGAAGAATGCAAATGCCACGAAACCACCATTGAGCAGCACAATGATTCACTTCTGCCTTCTCTGAGATGCTCGATGCCGGGTGCCTCCCCAAAGAAATCCTAAAGAAGTAAAGTGAAACCCGCAAGATCCCGCAAGCAAAGCCAAAAGGAACCCAAATAAAGACGCAAACACATGCAAGCCAAACCCAAAGAAGCCCCAAAGAAGTGAAGCCCCGATGGCGGTTTGCGGGTGGCGCATGCCGAAAGTGTCTCCCTCCCTTCCCTTCCCTTCCCTTCCCTTCCCTTCCCCTTCCCTTCCCTTCCCTTCAACTACAAATTGCTAAGGAGGAGCAAGCAACCATAGTTTTGCCTGGACCATTTTGACCAACATTCTATCGATCCTAACTTTTGTGCGCCAGACACGTTGTCGCAGGTGTTGTTGCAAAACAAGGTCGGCTGAGAGGCTCCAATGACTGGGATCCCCTGCGAAGCTCACACCCTCTGCTTGTCTTGGGTGCCTCAGTGCCAGGCAACGCGACATGCGGCAGCAAGATGCACCAAGCAACGACTAGGGAGACCCACAAACAACTGGACTGAGACAAGGGGCAGTGAAAAAGAGAGGAGCTGAGAGCACTTTGCTAAGAAATCGAACTGGACTTTCAGCCATGGCACCTGGTCTCTCCGGCTCCAGAGCCAAGATGTAGGAAGTTGGCAATGCTCTTTAAACGGGCCTCTATCTTGTCCTCACGCCGGGGCTGGTGGAATTTAAAGGGAAAGGGATGAGCACGGCTTGGATGCAATGAGCACAAAAGCTCGTTGGCTTCTTCCACCTCGTTTTTATTTTTCGGGCCACAATCCAAACGAAACAACCTAGCATCGCCTTCCCCTGACGATGACTTCTAGAAATCCTCGGCTTCTCTGCGTCGAAAATATCTCTCGCACATTTGCAGTCGGACAACCTCTAGATGGCAATGACAGCAGCTTTGACCAGCGTTTTCACAAGTGAACTGAATGATTCCAGCCCAGTTCTGCTGTGGACCCCTGTATCCAATCACCATCCAATCACCTCACCTTTCCCCTTCTGGTTTGCTGACTGGGTCTCCATCACCAACCTTCGTTCCACTTTGTCACCTGGCGCTTCCCCAACTCATCGCCAAGCTGCGAGCTTCTCGTCGTAGAAATCAATGCCTTTGGCTAGGCCGTCAATCTTTGTCTCGTTGCGGTCCATTTGGGCCTGCTCAACTGCAAGCACCGACTATGGCACTCTAGTGGGGGCTAGCGGCTAAATGATGCACAACTAGTCAACAATGATGTTTTCTTCAGAAATGTCTTCGCATTGTGAAGCCCCCTTGCCCTGAAATTGTCTTCATTAACGTCCTGATCATGTTCAACAGCCCCTCAAGACTCTAGATCATCTTGAAGTGGTAAGAAAGAGTCCTCAAATGTCTTCAGACTCCGTCACCCTGGTGGTGTGGGCGGTTTCTTCGCACTGTTTGAACATCCCAGTGGCCACACATTTCGAGACTTGATAGTGGAGCTCCATGATAGACATAGGCCGGATCTGCTCGCAAAGGCCAACCACTCCCTAGATAAACTCGGACCTCTCAATGATTCCTGGCAGTGTGTAGGGACTCCAACGCCGTGAATCGAAGATGCATGTGCCTGGAGGTCCTGTGCAAAACGAATTGATTAATTGAATAAGCAAAGCGTGGGTGCACAGTGCACATCTGAGGCGCCTGTGTCACTGTAGTCCATGACGTAGAACATCTGATCCAAGTCGGCACGTTGAAAGTTCACCCCAAAGCTTTCCAGAAGGAGGGCCACTTGCTCCGTCACTTGCCGAATCTCATCCCGAGGTAGGACACGATTGTGATGCCTCAGCCGGAACAAACAGGAAATCGAACGCTTCAGCAAGACAGAACAGAATGCCAGCTGTGTTTGAGGCTCTCAAAAATCTGCGCACTCGTGTGCGTTCTCCCCAGGAGAAACTTCATGAAACTTCCGAAACTCAGAAGGGACCTATCGGCAACTCCCAGATTACCCCACGATACCCACGCCTTTCTAGAACGTGACGAGAAGACGTGATCGCGCACTGTGTTGGACATCGAGTTGCACATCGAGTTCATCAAAAAGTTCTCCGCACCGTTGTTGCAAATCCTTCCTCTTGAATTCACGGTCGATGCGATCCGCCTCGATGCGAGCCTGGTTCTTCTCCTGTCAGCGACATCGAATGACACGCTTTGCCAGAGAGAGCGCGTCACCAAACGAGAGAAGCGACCCTCCACCATCCAAACCATGGATCGGACCGTTGGGTCGTTAAGGGGGGGGAGATGGGTGCAGGCGCGGACGCACACGTTCGCCGCACGCATTCCCCTTGCAAGCTGAGACTCTAAAATACTTTCATTGATCAGTGCTACGAGGAGCCCATTGATTCCTTCGGCAGGTCAGCATACTAATTGCAGTTGAGTCATGCAAAACAGGATGCACACCTGATGTTATACATATAATATGAATGTCTGTATGTATATATATATATATATCTAAAGCATTGCATTATTTACTCATGTATGTTTAATTGAATTTTAATAAACAATTGCAGTCGGGTTGAGGCAACCCATGTCATAGGCGCTCTTCAGTGCTACGTGCTGTCTTGAGTTAGAGTGGCATAGAAACATTTATTTGCGACTTGATGCAATTTGACACGGAACTCCTTGTCATGGTTATAGCAGTGAGTCTACAACTACAAGTAGTGTGTTATCGGCCATGTGCGAGCTTCGCTTCATGAATGAAATCCAGATGTTCATTTGGATGCGTGACTATGACTGACAAAACTGGGCTTGTTACGGCTTGTTGCTGAGAAAGCTTCCGAAACTGCCCAGGACGATGAAAATCACCAGGAAAACGACCAGTGGGGGATTCGCAAACATGGCTGCCTAAGGTGACAACAGCTCGCAAAGAGCACACTCAACTGGAAGTTGTAAGGATCAACGCACATCATTCAAGTCATGACGAAGCGAAACAAAGGCCACACAAGATTCTCAACGACAAGGGTGGCTCCCAACCTACCAACCTACAGAACTTTTTCTCAGGATGCTCAGGCTAAGGGCATTGAAAAAAGAACACACTACGGCGGGCTGCGGGGCTGCGACTTGAAGCACACCATGTGGCGACTGCGAGCGTTCCGCGGACGTTCGGATGGTCAGAAAATCTCGCTGCAAGAAGTCCACATGCGAGGTTTGAATCTAAGAAAGTGACTATAGTGACTATAGGTCCGGCAACGGCAACCTGAACCAATTCGTCCAGCAAAAGTGCAGCCTGGTGGCTTTGTATGGTGCTAGGTCTGGCGCTGTGATCAGCTCAAAGAGCGCAAACATGGTGATTGGAATTGAGCCTTGGTTGCATCTCTCATTCCTCTCATGTCACAGGACTTTTCCATGGGAAGCTTGTTTCTGCCCGGTCACCAAAATGCTCCTCGAAAAAGTCATGGTAGGGGTCATCGTTGTTCCCGTTCTTACCATAGGCTCGCACCAGGATCACAGCACAAATATACAACATGAAGGAAGCCAGAATCGTGACCTGTGGCCGAATCTTCACAAGAATAGCTTAGAATAGCTCTGCCTTCGCATCACGCTGTCAAGTCAAATCGTTTTTGGCAATAATTGCGTCTAAGATCGTCTAAGTCAAATCTGTTCCAAACTGTTTGGTTGTCAATCTAGTAGGCAATCTGTTCGGTTCCTCTCTGAGCGCCACACCCACAAAACTGCCATGGTTCCTTCAATGAAGCCGTAGGCCAGCAAGTAGAGCTGCTTTAGGAAGCGCACTATTCCTCGCAAGGTTCAAGAAACTGGCTCGCCGGTTGTTGCATTGTTGCTTCTTTCTGGGCCAATCGTCGCAGTTTTGAGCCCTTGCCAGATCTTGCTTGCAGCTGGGCAGCTGATGATTCGCAGGACTCGTAAAATTCTGAGCAAGCGAATGATCCGAAAGAGCGTTGCATTCCTGCTGCATAATTGAGATCGGACGGGGTTGCAGTATTGGGGGCTCTGTTGCCACTAGTTGGTGAGGTGGTGGGGTACAAGTCTGAGCCAGCAGCAACACATCCACACTATCCGGACTCTGAATCATCTCACTCCTTAAGATCTTTCAACATGCACCCTGTTCCATTTCACCATCCAACATTCAGCAATCACCCACCGCAGGAGAGGTCAATGGTCTCTTGGAGAAACAGGTAAATGGCTGCTGGCGGCTTGAGGCACGAGGCACGATGGTTGACCTATAGATAGGCTCTGTGGGATTCTGCAATTCAAAGAGGCACGACGTCACATGATTTCATCGTAGCCCACCATACTCCTCCAAATAAACACCAACCAAAAAGCTGGTTCCTGCCACCAAGAGTGCCTTGTCCCCAAAGTGTTCCTCCCACAGGGGACGAAACTTCGGTCCAAGTGATCGTCTCTACCAAGTGGCGTTTGCCCCCCAGTCGCTCTTGTTCTATCATTCCTCCAAAAAGCACCTGTAGAAACCCACCCTGCCACACCACCTTCTAGGGTCAACCCCAAACCCTAACGACCCTAAACCCCACTCCACCACTCTGCTTTTCGATCTCTTTGGTCAGCAGTGGGGGGGGTGACTCGGCGGAGGTCTGCAGTTTGCGCAGCCCCGGGCGTAGCAGCCGCGCCAGCTGTTGCACAGGGGGGCGGCTTTGTCGCACTCTCCGGGACGTCCCGGACATAGCAGACCTTGCCATCCTTGACCTGAGCCAGGTGGTCCAAAATGGGCTCTTCTGCGAGAAAAGGACATATATTCTTGGGACTGTTCTTGGGAATTGTGCAAGTAGCTGAGCTCCCCCATGTCTAAGCCCCAAATTGTGGCACCCTGAAAGCTTTCCCACTGAAGAATCCCGAACACATCCGAACAGTAAATACAACACAATACACGATACATACGTGCACATAAACCAGTGTTGTGTAGCTTTACTCTTCTAGCGGTCCACACTTGACGATGTACAAACTTGCACTTGCACTTGTGCCACTTGGGTCAGTGCACCAAGCCTTTGCTTTTCATTGTGCTTTCAATTGCTTTTATATGTGTTCTTCCTGAATCATTGGAATAGAAAGGACATGCTACAGATTGCTACAGGATCAAATCATTTTGGGCCCCAAATGCATAGATTGACATCTTGGGACATGCACTTGTGCCATGTCTCACGCCTTGTAGAAGGTAATGCCACGGATCCCTCGCGGTTGTCCAGCAATCTGAATGGTGTATGTGAAGCCAACGGCTTCCTCACCATCAGAGACTTCCTCCAAATTGAAGGTCACACCTTGTATATTCTGGAAGCGTGCCAGGAAACCGTCCACGGCTTTCTTTCCAACAAATGGAACTTCGTAGTTCATGTCTTCATAGACCACATCTTCTGCGTAGAAGCGAACCGCATCGCCACCAGACTTCTGCACGTCACCGTAGAGATATTTTACGATGCTTCCCGCCATACGTGGCGTTTGGGGTGGGCCGGACAAAACAGGACGTTCAGGCAAAGGCTGATCCTTGGTCAATGCTTCTAGCAGCTTTTCAGTAAGCTCTCCTGCCTTAAACAAAGGCTCACCCAAATCGCGGACATATGCCACTTCGCCAGCTGAATTGAGCCTCACAAAGCACAAGCCACGGTGTCCTATGCCCACTCCATCTTCTTCGATGTGCCATGTAAATCCACATGATGAGCTCCCATCAGAAAGGCTGTCAATGACTAGATGCGACTTGGGCGGCAACAGCTTCTGTCGAATCAATTCGACAACAGCCTGCTTTCCTTTTGCCGGCTCGGCGTAGTAGAGATCTTCGTAGACCTAACAGTTTACAGAAGTCAATAAATCAGGGGCTGCATTTCGCATCATAGAACAAAAACAGAAGCACACCAAAAGCATCTACTTTATTTAAAAAACAAACCTTGTGCAGGTAGTAGACACAGTCAGATGCCACGGCTGCCTCCCACCGTGCCAAGTCCTCATCGCTTCGAAGGCCTTTGCCCCACAAACTCCGTGCCACGTCGGGCGCGGTGCGCACCGTGTTCGGAGCCGCCAAACAGCTCTGCGGCAGCACCACCAACGCGGTTCCCAGCACGTCTCGCCTCCACGCGTGCAACGCGCTGCGCCGTGCCCGCGGACGCGCTGCCCGGCACGCGCGGAGCACGGCCGAGGTGACCACGGCGGTGACGAAGGATCTCTCCGATCCGAAGCTGCGCAGCTTTGGGGATCCGGGTGGAGCGGGAGCGGTGGGAGGAATGGAGACAGGAAGCTTTGCCTGTAAAGCCTGCACAGCCATGGCGAGGTCTGGAATTTACAAGAGCATAAAAAACGGCTGCAGAAGGCAAACAAATGATTAAGTGAACAAGTTCTAATTATGAAAGTCTGGCCGGGGCAATGGAGGCATGGCCTAGGCCCTAGGCATATATGATATACCCGTGCAGTTTCATCGGGATTGCAAAGGTTCTATAATGCATTTTTTTCAGGAGAGCCCGTGTCCTTGCTAAGATGTCGGTGGAGCCAGCAAAAACGTGCAGTAAAATGCTGAGCACTCCCATCGCAACGAGCAGGAAATCGAAGCAGTTCCACGCCTCGTTGTTTGCAGGACAATCATCCTACAAAAAAAATAGTAATAAGAGTAGTTTCTTGTTGTTCCTAGTAGTTTCTCAACATGGCTCTTGTGTATCATCTTCTTTCCCCTCAGGCAACTTGCTTCATTTCTACGAGCAGCACGGCGCCCAATGATGCAATGACATGTGCCAGAGACAAAAAGAGACATGACGTTGATTTCCCCACACTTTACCCGCCTAACTACATGTTGCCGTCTTGCGTTTGCCCATGCATCAAAGAGTCGATGTCCGGGTTGTTGTGAAATGCAAAGAACTTTTGAATGCCCAGACAATACATCCGAATCACCTGAGCGTTTCTCGCAAGTTACAGTAGTATGCACCCTCGGAGGATGCGCTGGAGGACGTGGTCCCAACATCCACGGCCAAGCGCGGCACGCCAAATGCACAAGCGCGGCACGTCTCCAGAGGGGCCAAACAAAGGACAAATCAGGAGAGACTAACCAGCTCCTTTCATCTGCAGAAGAAAGTTCCAAATGGACAAGCAACAGGAAGGGACACGATTGGAGCGAGTCGTCGACAGGACTGAGCCTATCTCCAAACTTGCAGCCATGCTGCAAGCTCAACAGAGAAGAAGGCCAAGAAAATGTTTTCGACCACGTCCCACGCGAACTTCTCTGGGAAGTCGGTTTCAAGCCCAATGACCACTGCGTTGAGGAGAATTAGGCCTCGGCAAAACGTGTACCCATGTGAGCGAATTACCTCCAGATTGACGCACATGACTCATGACGCTTCAACATGTTTGAATGTTTGAACCGGACAAACATGGAAACATGCGATGGTCTATGCTGTGCTCTGGCAAGGGTCAAATGGTAGCCGCTTGCATCGGCCCACTTTCCAAGAAGTTCTGCCAAAGGCATGATTGCAGCTCAAGACCGCTGACACACGAATGAACCAGAATACATGAGAATGCATTTATATACTCTTGTTTAGTTCTACCAATGTCCATTGTCTAGAACATCGCTGATGACGTGCCAAGACGTTCCAAGACGTGCCGGGTTCCGGTGCCGACCTGATCGAGGACCTCCCATCCCACCGGTGCCGGTGGATCCCAATTGCTGGCCACCGAGGTCAGGCACCGACGCACCTCCTGCGTAGAGCTGGTGGATGAAGAAAGCCGAAGAAAACCCATGTGAGTCATTGTGCGTCCATAACATCAAGAGGCTGTATGAGGCTCTTATACATAGTTTTTAACATGGGGTGGTTACATTCATCAACAGTCTACATTAAGGTCTTTGGGTAATAGGTTGGGTATGTATGTCTTGGGTAGGCCTATCTATGTGTATATTTATATATACATATACAATGGATGTCCGTTGCCAAGCGTTTTTGCACACGAAGATTGCCAGACCTTCTTTCGTGCGGTCCTGCCGCTGCGAATCACAAATCCCTATGCTCTCCAATGCTGGTTGGGTGCGCGAGCGCCGCGACTCTGGGCGACTTTGAAGGCTTTCTTCCCTTGATGGCTTTACAGCATTGTCATCACCAGGAATCAATGCGTAGGAGCCAGAGCCTTAGTACAGCTTTGAACAGCCGACCATTGGAGATGAACCACGTCCAACCTCGCGCGATGCCGGGCTATGTCAATGTCTTGTCCCAAGCTTCATGGGTGTGTATTAAAAGTAGGGAGACCTGGCAAAGACCCTGAAAGATAGGAAGTAGAGCGGGGGTCTCCCTATTATATATATATATATAAAAGACGCACCCCTTTCTGCCACCTGAAGCCTCCGAGCAGCGAAGGGAGAAAATATCACTCCCAGGCCCAGCTCTTGTGACCATGATCCATGGATGCTGACGCCGCTCTGTGCCGCTCTGTGCTGACGCCTTCTCTCAGCGAGACGCGGTGGAACTCGAGATGCCCCAGTTGAGATGAACTGTGTCCATGTAGTCACAAGTAGTCAACATCTTTGGAAACAGAATGATCTGCAGCGTCGAAAGTTCTTGTCATCATGAAGAAGCACCACTGATTCTTGTCTGGGGAGGCGTTCGACTGCGACTTCACCCAAGCATGACCAATGCTTTCTTATGCAACACTTGCCCAACCGAGCTGTGAGCCAAATAGTTCGTTCGGGATGCTAGCATGAAACTTGATTTTTCCCAGAACACATCAAAATAGTGGTCTAGAATCACTCTACACACGGCCTCAGATCAAAGTCCAAACCCAGAATGAACAAGAATGAACTGTGAAAAGCACCTGGACATGTCACCCCAGCAAACATGATTACTGGCGGTGTGGGCCTTTGAAGGAGGTCCCTTGGCCTCGCGGACGAAGCATGTCTCACATCTCATAGACAACCCGAAGACTCGTGACTAGGAACGGAGAACATGTGATTTCGTCTAGTGATATTATACATTGATATGGCAATATAGGAGCTTAATGGATGTAGCAACATATACTACACACACACACATATATATATATATGTACATATTGTTTTAAATGTAACAAATACAGCAGAAATATACATATATATATACTCTAAATATATTGTCTTCGACCGGAACAGGTGTCCCGCACCTCGGGTCTCTAAGACATCCCTGGTGGCTTCTCATTGGAGCGATCCATGTCGACCAATGACTCCGTTTCTCGGATGAAATGCGTAGAAGGGACACCTCTGGATCTCAAGCTGAGGCACTCCGACATGCATCTCACTGAGTTCGCTGGGACACCGGCCACTGCTAGAGCTGTCAGAAGCTCTTGCACCTCAAATCCAAAGCATCTGGCATGCTTACCCCAATGCGCAGCATCCGGGCGGTGAGGGATCAACAAGAATACGAATAGCAGCAATAGAAACATATTCAACGGGGATCAAAAAGAAAAGGATCAAAAAAACAACAACTTACCCCCAGTGAGCAATGAAAGTAAAACAATAACCAAAAAAGGAAAGGACAACAGCAGCAGGGCGATAAAAGGATCAAAGCAAACCAAAGCGCAAAAATCCACCCACAAAAGAAAAACTAAAGAGAAGCAAAGGATGGACATGTTGGACACAGCAAAAGTAGGCCCCACCACCGGCCAAAGGACAATGAAAGGAGGTTTGCAACACACAAACAGAAAGACTTCGGCGAGGGCGGCGAGGGCATGCAATCTTTGGTTTGGCGATGTGATCGGTGACCGTTAAAGAATTTGTCGTGGCAGGCGCAGCGCATTGGCAAAGTAGTGCAGATGTCATGGCGCTGGGGTTGTGGGGGGAGGGCGCAGCGCCTCCCCCCCAAAGCGAACCCACGAGACTCAGAAGGCACCACAGAATAGATCACCCTCATTGCCTCATCAATGAAGGACATCCAAAAAGTGACATAAGGACCAAGGCAACCGGGCAGCTCTTTTTGTTGAAGTCCCGCCAAATTCGCAAATATGATGAATTTTGCACATCTCACGCTTTTTGACCAATGGACCATGATTGCTTAAGGACCAGGAACCCAACGACTTTGATCCCGTTTTTGCACTTTTGTTGATCCTGTTCTTATTTTGATCTAGATGCCGCATCCAGGCTTGCATAGGAATAGTCATAGACCTTCAGCCTTGTTCCATTTGCAACTTGATTTTCAAGATTTTTCAAGTGTACATCCTTCACGCCATTTACCATGTCCATTGCAGGGTGCCACCCACCGCCACACATCTGCAATGGCTGGTCAATCCGACATAATTACAGTACAGTATATAATCCTTCAAATGCAACTCTCACTTCTCTGAGTGCCCAAACACCTGGGGCAGAAAGCTGTGACAAAGCTGAGGACAACCTAAGCCCGTTGTGAAAAGATGTACAACATTGTACACCATCCTCACAAGGAAACCTCAACCCCAACCAAGCAAACGTCTTTGCCGAATTGCCGTTTAGAACTGTCGACCTTCCACCTGAGAATCCCTCCAAAGGTCGGGCCCTCTGGGAGGTCTCTAAGGGCTTGGCTCCTCGCCTTTCATATCCTGGCGAGCTGGTCTCCCTGATGGGTAAGGACATGGGGGAGAAGCGTAAAAACGTTTTTTAATGATTTCCGTATTGAATGTATCATACTTTGGACCACATTTGTCAAAGTGTGTGGGGCCCATGGTGCTGTTTCTACAACAACTCCCACTTTTGCACATGGTGCACCGGCCTGGGACATCGCCATGGACTGCCGGCTGATAGAAATCCGCCGTCTCCGTGCGGTTTGCGTTGTTAGCGGGGAAACTCCAGTGGGTTACTCTCTTTGCTTGCTTTGGTGTTGCCGCTGTTGCACCACTGTAGCCCCGTAAGCTTCGAAGCTCTCTCACCGCGCGGGAACCCCACGGCCCCCTGAAATCCGCGGGCGGAAGTTTTGCAGGAAAGCGCAGGCCACCAAGATAAAGGAACTCAGCCAAGGTTCCTGGATAATTCTAGAACCTTGATTTCAAAGTGCTAAATGAGTCTAGCCGCTCAGCCACTGTGCTTTCAAATGAGGCTGTTACATCACTTGGCCGGTTGCGGAGACCAAACAGGCCTTTGGTAACCAAACGGTCTGATTCGGTAACTATGATTCGGTAACCAAAAACCGCAGATTCGGTAGCCAAAACCGCTGATTCGGTAGCCAAAACCACGATTCGGTAACCAAAGCCACTGATTCGGTAATCTAAGTCATCTATGGTAATCTAAACCGTGAAACGAAAGAAAGAGACTGATGACCCGGGTGGTGGTAGTGGTAGTAATAGTGGCAGTGGGCGTGGTAGTGTAGTAGTAGTAGTAGTGGTGGTAGTAGTAGTAGTAGTAGCAGTAGTACTAGTAGTAGTAGTAGTAGTAGTCGTGGTCGTGGTCGTGGTCGTGGTCGTGGTAGTGGTAGTAGTAGTAGTAGTAGCAGTAGCATTTCATCACAGAACAGCCAGGACTGTGCGCGTGTCTTTCTCTTGGTGGTCACAAACACACAGGCCAACAAAAGCTTTCGTTCGAACCATGCCAAACTAGCATGGCAAAGCCCTCAACAAGTTCATCTTCATCTTTCCAACTTACAAATGCTCGTGAAGATGTCCTCTTTAGGGGCAGCGTACTACACCCCGCTGTAAATAAACGATCAGGACACTACGATGCAGAAACCAACCGATTGTTTCCAACATTTTCCAACCATATGCTGCTTAAACCCTTGCAACCACATGGAACGTAAATACAAACATTTTTTGTCTTACTTGAATGAATGTAAAAGCCCTTTGCAACCACTTCGAACGTTATTATCTGGGTCATGGTGCCCCCCCACCCCACACTCCTCGTGCCCTCCACCCCATTGCAACCATCGTCGGGCTTTGTTTCTGAATAGTCTGACTTGGTTTCTGCATCGGCTGCTTTGGTTTCTGAAACGTAGTTGCTGAATCGCCTGGTTTGGTTTCTGAATCGTCTGACTTGGTTTCTGAATCGGCTGTTTTAGTTTCTGAATCGGCTGTTTGGTTTCTGAATCGGCTCATTTGGTTCCTGATTCGGACCATTTGGTTTCTGAATCGGACTGCCTTGGTTTCTGAATCGTAGTTTCCTGATCGGTTGGTTTCTGAATCGGCAAATGTCCTATGCCGGACCCAAATGCCGCCCGCCCTCGCCCCACACGGGGTACCGCGCGAGCATGTCTTTTGGCGACGCCTCTGCCGCGGCAGGGGTCCCGTCTCACTCAGCGCTGCCGCGTGGGGCGAGTCACCTGACAGAAACGACCAGCATTCAGTGGCTGGGACACACCGGCCGTTGAGCGCGAGAGAAAGAAACAAAAAGGACAACGCCACTGGACGCGCTGGATTCTTCTTTTTCGCAGGGTCAAGCTTGTTTCTGCGTGAACTGTAGAATGGCACTTGACCACATTCATGCTGGAATGAATGGAAACACCAACAAGCAAGCATTGATTGTCTCAAAAAGGGATTGGTGCCCCCACGACATATATCACGATACCGATATCTGTGTCTCCACAGTATTTTCTGAGTTGGGAGGGGCGGAGTCAATCCACCTGCCAGCACTCACCGTCGAGAGATTGCCGGGGGCTGCTTCTAGACCCCTGCGCTGTGCAATGGTCTTCTGCCGCGCGTCTGCCCATCCGCCCTGACAAATGAAACCCATGGCATTCCATGGCCCTAAGCGAAACAGACTTCTGCGCGCTTCTTCAAAAGTGGCGGCAAAGGGCCATAACTCAAAACCAGACTGACCTGAATTTTCCAAGACGACATGGAGCAACGGTGGAAAGGGACCAAGGCCATGAGAGCCGCCTTCCACCGCAGGATGTCATCAGTGAAGCAAGGATTTCAGGACACATCCAACACGGCAAAGTCCATTCAAAACCAACAAGACTATCTATCCAACAAGACCATCTATCTATGTATATATATATATTATACCGAACTAAAACCAACAATTCAATATATGTTCATATACATACCGAACTACAATACAAATGGCAGAACGAGAAAATATGAGCTGAACCAACTTGTCAATAGAAACCCCTGTGGAGGCAAAATAGAAGAGTTGCCGCTTTCCCTCTGAAAGCAGTCAACTGTCCATCCCATCAAAAAAGCACAGCTTGGGTGGTGGAAGTCACGTGCTGCAAACACGGACTGCAGAAAGAACTCCTGTTGCAATGACCAATGACCATGTGGCTGGGATGAACATCTAGTGCAAGAACTTGCATGGATGATATTACAAATACACCCAAAGAAGCGTGAGCGGTCTTTGCTTTGCAAAGTGGCCCAGACTTTCAAAGTAGTGCTCCCAGGACCTTTCCTGCGACATGAGCTGAGCAAAAGGGCCATGATCGTTTTGTTGAGCAATGTGACTGTCACGGTGTTGTTCAAGTGCATGTCCAGGCACTAATCCCGAGTACCTATTAATAAACACTCCCCAATTAAAAAAAACACCACGTCCGAACCCCTAAATTCGGTTTATATTTGGTTTTAAGTTGCCGCCCTTTCAAGCCGCTACTAAACTACCAACATGGTCGATTTTGGTGGTAGTTTTTTTAATTAGGTTCCCCAAAACTCCACCATGACACGCCGCGCTTACACCACTTCCCTCAATGGCACGGACTCACGCAAACGCACTTGCCACCGAGGTCATGCAACACCGCATGGCACAGCGACATCACCTTTCGAAAGCTTTAGCTGTTAGTCTACTGAAGAATCACTATTCTAATGAAGGTTTTTGTAGGGGAAAAGGAAGACCCTTCGATCTGGCGGTTTTTTGCATTTTTGATACGAGTTTAATAAAGGATTTTATATAAAATTTTCCTGGATTACTTTTTGGTTTTGAAACTCTTTCCAGGTGACCCTATTTTGGGCCCCCCCGATTTCAGGGACCCCCTATTAGAAAAAATGCGACCGAGGTTTTTTTAATAGGGGGGGGGGCGTGTTTATTATTACGGGGGCCGGATTAATCAGCTTCTCAACGCGCAACTGTTGCACTGCAACTGTCACCTGAAGAAAACAGTTCCCTCAAAGCAAAAACGGAAGTGCAATCTTATAAAACCACCTTCTGTTTGGGCATCACTTTACCTGCTTTTGCCTGCTTCAAGAATCGTCGTGATCTTTCCCCTCCTCCAAGGCAGAATTCTCTGGACCTTGATTCGACATACAATTGAACACAATATCATACAATCCTAAGTCCTCAGTTCTCCCTAACTGTTGAACCCCTAAAAATGCAATGGGCCTCCCCCGTCGGATAACAGGCCGTCCTGAAAGCTAAGCATGGCCGCCTCCCATGCAGGACGGCCCAAATAGACCTGGGACGCGGCCGCTGTGCAAGCAAGGTGGATGCGGACGGTGCCTATTGGCAAACTTGTTGGGCTTCACCTGTTCCTCTCTAACGGCCACTCCGCACGGCTTGCAATGTTTTTACTCCATTGAATCTGAACCCGCGCTCGGTAGCGCGCGCCTGCGCAGCAACAATGACGCAAAGCTGAACTAAGGGCAAGCTCAATGAGCAAAGCACCTGGCCGCCCGGGTTCAAATGCCAACGGAACCTGTGCGCTTGTTCACTTTACCCAGGCGCCACGTACATGGCTTGGATCTACAAGCATCTGTGCAAAAGGAAGCACCAAAAGCCTGCGGCCTCCTAGCTCCCCCTCCCTTAATGGGGAGCAAGCCAGCATCCTGAACCCCTTAGCCTTAGCTGTGCGCCTTGGCACCGCAAAGCAATGTCAAGCCCTCGTCGTTCAGGATGCATCTATCATTCGCAAGTTCAGGAACCTGTCGGACTCTCCGACGGAAAACAACTCATTCCCCGCTCGTCCGGGCACGCTTTTGGACGAGACGCAACCCTGGTGCATGCTTTGTTTCCATCTGTTCCATGCTTTAATTGCGTCCAGGAAGGGTCCCCGGGCCTGGACGCCAGCATAGTCTGAAAAGTGATAGTGTCGGATCATAAACATGGATCCTGGATAGTTAAAGCATTATCTCCAGGGCTGTGGAGACCCTACCTTGCCCACTCCTCCTTACAACACTGTACTAGGCATCCGGGGACATCACAGTAGTGGACTCTTCCTGAATGCGACTTTTGAGCACTTCCGTGCTACAAACAAAACCCATCGCCAATTCCTAAAGGCTGATCTTGAATCCATATTTACTGTCAGGTTCCAGGAATTGGGCCAAAGAACGCACAGTGTTTGGCAGTATGTTCGCTACCCAGAATGCTTTCAGAAGTTACCATTGTCGAATGTGCCTCACGCTGATGAAGCTGGATGGTGCTGTGCAGCAATTCGTTTTATATATTTATATAGATGGTTGAACGACAGCACCCCAGGAACACGAACACCGCCACGACCTCAGCAGTCTTTGCCCCGGCCTCTGTGCCCGTCAGTGGCATGGGATCCATCTCCATCTCCGGCCTTGTGCCATTCCCGGAACCGGCGCTGTACTTGGTCAAAGGTTTGTTGTCTTAAAAGTGTTTTTAGTTCACTTTTAACCGAAAAAAAACACCGGACACCACCAGCTTGCGTGGTGCACCTGGGTCGGTGGAAACGAACCAGCACAGGAATTCACGGTGTCTCTTTGGCTTTTTCAATCAGCCACTCGACGACACACGGGACCATCTCAAGAGCCCTCCTCTGGGACAACTGGTTCATGGTAGATGGATAGGAGTTCAATGAGTCAAACCGATTCAATTAAATATCGACGGTTGTAACTTTGTGGCAGGTAGAACAACAAAGCCCCTGCAAACAAAGCCCCTGCAAATTGATGCATAATTCATAGAGAGAGAGAGAGAGCGAAGTGTCTGGCGATTCGATTGAACAGTTATATGTTATAATCCTCAGTCCGTCAAATGATGTAGTTTGGGTCAACCCATTACCAGTAACAGTGGAATGATGGTAACTAAAGGCCTTGGTCTAAAATAGTAATAACTGTTACGGACGGTTACAGGTAATACACCGAGTAGATTCGTAGATGATTTGTCCACATCAATCCCGCACAAAGCCCAAGGAGTCTCCTCTCAGGCCCTTTTCCGCTTCCGTGTGCTTCCCCGCCTTGCATCGGAGGTCCTGACCTCCCGCACGAAGCCAATGATGCGGGCAGCCACCTGCGCGTTTCGTCCCACCTGCCCTGGCAACATCGACACATCGACCCGGACCCGGTGCCCGAGATTGGTTCGTTCAGGACGAACACCGTCCCTCAGGCGATCGTGTTCCCAGAATCCCGCACCATTCTTCCTTCCACATCATCCCAGCTGGGCGAAAAGCATCTTTTTTCGCGTCGGTCTCCTTGCTTCCAGCTGTCTTTCCAGCTGAGCGCGTTGATGCTTCAATTCCCCGAGACGCTGCTGGTGTTCCAGCCGCTCCATGCGGAGATTTTGCTCAGAATGGGGATCCCAGCGAGCACAGTCCTCGCGATCGGGCGGGCGTGGAGAGAGGGATCCATGATGATCCGTGTTTACCCCTCTCCCTCGATCACCATCAGGCCTTTCAACCAAGGCTGAAGAGGTGCCAATGATTTTTGGTGGATTGAACTTGAAGAACTACAAGTTCCAACTGTGTAACGGCATTCAGTCAAACCCATTCCTATTTTGCAAACACAGCAGCCACGCTCCTGCCTTCGTGTTGGATCAAAAGGTCTGGCTCACTGCGCTAGATCTCTGACAGTCCAGATGTCTTGTTCAAGTCATTGTACTATTCTATTGTAATATTAAAACTTAAACACACGGTCCATGAGTGTTGCTCCCCCCACACCACCTCCGCCAGTCGCATCATCTCGGCCTCCTGGCGGTCCTGAAGGGCGGCCAAGGAAACAAAGTCTAAACAATGTCTCAATAGGAGTGGTTTCTAGATTCTAGCACTAGAGCGAAAAAACTAGCGCACTAGCGCTAGAAGCACTTGTTCTAGAAGAATCAGTTGCCTTATACAGATGCTTGAATGAGCACCTCAGACTCAGCCCCTCACATCTACAATCATCTACCAACGAAATCCCACAATTGCCTCGCACCCAAATTTCAAGTGTATGAGTTCTACATGCCACATCGCCCCAAATTCCCCAGCAACGCAAGAATCATCAAAACTCCCACCATCACCACCATCTACCTTCCATTACCTGCCCCTTTCCTTCTGCCGCTGCAGCTCTCCCAGCTGCCCCAGCTCTTGCAGCTCTGCCAGCAGCTCCGCCGCTTCCGCCAACGCCGTCCGCAGCGCCTCGCTGGCGTCGGACGCGCGCCGCGAAAGCTCCTCGAAGTGCTCCTGGCGGCGCCGGCTCTCCGGCGCCAAGAGAGGAGGCCGGAGAGACGATCTTTCGACCCTTCCGAGTCTTGAATTGACAAAGTTGGACTGGAGGGAGGGTGCTCTAGACAGACAGACAAATAGATATTTCGATATAGATAGATAGATAGATAGATAGACAAATAGATTGTTAGATAGATAGATAGACAGATAGATAGTTAGATAGATAGATAGATAGATAGACAAATAGATAGTTAGATAGATAGATAGACAGATAGATAGTTAGATAGATAGATCGATAGACAAAAAGACAGAGAAACATGCAAAACAGGGATGTATACATATATAACTATATATATAATTATTACTATATATATACTGACCATGCAAACTCATGGTGTACTCGCAAGCTGAGGTGTGTTGGAGTCACTCTTGGAGTTTCAGTCGGCGGTGGCATTGCAGTTGACTGTAAGTATGTATGGTTTAAATGATATCCAATGCTACTGCTGCAGCAGTGCATACCTTCCTGAGTTATATATATCTTAATAGTCCTCTAGAATCGTCAAGTTGATACCACCCTTTATGCCCTGACTTAACTTCCTAACCCCTCAGAACCTGTAACCTTTAGAGTTTCTTTCAGGTTGGTGCCCCAAGTTCATACTTCAGAACCACTATATATATATATATAAACCATGATCAAACATCATCTACCCAGAATCCAACATCATAACATCACTCTGCGATGCACTCCGCGGTCCTCCTTCTTTTGGGCCTTGGCCCTCCGACCATCCGCTCGCCCGGTCCGGTCCTTCTTTTGGGCCTTGGCCCGCTGCAGCTGCCGTAGCTTCCGCTTCGCCGCGGCAAAGGCCTCCGTGGCCTCCGTGAGCCGCTGGGCCAAGTCCTCCATCTCGCCTGCAGCGTGCGTGACGGCGGAGTCCACGCTACGGTGACCCCAGAAAGGACCGGAAACGACAGAAATTCTCCTGGGCACCATGGTGCAGGAGTGTCCAGGAATGAAGCAGATTGTGGAGAGCTCAAAATCGCACTCCAAAAGTGTATACTGCTAGGTACAACCGACATGGGCGGTTTGGGAGGTGGTGCCGAAGGTGAGACCGATGTTTTTGTTGCGCCTTGCATCTCTTCGGACGGCGCTTGGAGCTGCAACGCCAAGTCCCGCAGCGCCTCCGAGTGCCGCGTCAGCGGGATGGGCGCTTCCATGGCTGTCGGCCACGAGCCTCGTCCTCATGGGCTAAGCCGGTGACGGTGCTTCTGATAACGAATGGCTTAAGGATGCTTACTGCTAGAGTTGATCGGTATTCCACTTGTTGCATCTTGTTGCACCAGTTCATGTAAGACCTAACATGTTCTGAAGACTCTTGACACATGCCTAGTCCAATCTTCGTGGGTTGCTGTTGCAGAAATCCCTGATGGTGAGCTTCTCCCCGGCATCTGAGCAAATACCCGCGGAGAACTTGAGACATCAGCGTGCTTAAGTTTATCCCCAGGACTTAAGCATGGCTTCAACCTGGTGTGGACCAACCTTTGTACATGCCGAGAGGGTCTCACCTTGCTAGAGAACCTACTCCACCATTTATAGCATCCTGGGCCCTGCCTGATGAGGCATCTGCTCCTCAGCATGTGCAAACTGGTCACAACTCAGCAGGGCATGCCAATTGAAATTGTTAAATGACTAGGATCTCAAAGTAATTCCATCCCTTCAAGCTTGCAGGAGACCCTCGGCTTTTCCAATGATTGGTGACCTCAATTTCATTGCCTACTTAAACTTGACGAGCTCGCTGACGACCTCACACGTTTTGCCCAACGATGCACTGTGAAAATCTGCACGGAAATAGTCAAAACGGAAGTCCTGGAGGATCTTCTTTCCACATCCTCCTCAAGTGTGGAACAGGCATACCCAATGCAAAGGCATGCCACCACGAGGTTTACCTTGCCGAACTACAGGGTTAACGAGGGAACCAATCGTAAACAGATTTCACCCCACTGTAGCAGCCCGGCAAACGGCTCACCGTCATGTCAAAGGAGTTTCGAAAACATGGCCTGGCAAAGCTGAGCGCATGTTAGTAGGACTATTTCAACCTGAAAGTCATGTACAGCAAGAAAAATCAAAGGAGCAAACACATGCAAACAAAACACTTCAGAGATCGTGATGGAAATATTATGTGCTAGTACGAGTAGCTAGCACAAGACACCCAAAATATCCATCTGCCACGTTCTCATGCACGGCTGTCCTGCAAGTTTGGACTGTTGGGCGAGCTCAGGATATCGCCGCTGGACCAGCCAGAAATATCCTGAAGCGATGGCACAAACAGTGTAAATTGTTTCAGGATGGCTCGTTTTGGGCCTTGGGAAACACCTAGAATAATGGTCTTACTGGTTGGCTGTGAAAATCCAATGCTTTCTGCTGTCCAACTTTGAAAAGGTGTTTTGTATATAGATTCTTCGTTTGGTGTCATGTTCAGCGACGGCCCCACTAATTAGAATCCACCAGAATACACTGGCCTGCTCCTAACGAAAAATACTTAAAAAGGCTTTAAAGGGATTGCACACATTGAGCGTGCTTTTGACCCGACTGTTGGTGGTTGACTTGAGGAGCTGCAACGACAGACCGCAACGGCTGAAACAAAGGAGTGCTCTGGATGCGCGCTGGGTCAACTCCTTCCATTTGTATCTACGAGGAGTGCATTGTCTCCATTTCCAGCAGCATCTGGACCTCCAACCGCATCTCCAAACCGTCGGCTAGAAGAAATGGCTGAGCCGCAAGCCAATCACAATCAAAGTGTACCTCAAGCACGCGGCAAGGAGAAAAGGAGAAAGGGATAGAAATGAGTACCATCATCACCCTCAATCTACCCCCCCAATAGACTCGCTGGTCCCATGTTCGTACCTTTAGGCGCCTGTAGTTACTGTAGTTGCTACTAGTAGCTGCTTCTTGGTCCTAGTAGCAATGGCCTCCAACTTACTTGCGATGGCCTCCACCGAGCATAGCGTCCTTGTTACTAGTAGAAATGCGCCAAGTTGCAACGCGGTCCAAAGCACACCAGCATTGAAGATTGGCACAGCGACCCAAAATTCTGCCATATGCCCCGTGCAGATCCTGGAGCCAACGATGGAAGGCATCGCGGTCTTGCGCCAGCGACCCGTGTCTCACCCGAAATCCCACCTCCACGGAAGGGTGACAAAATCATAAGCAAAGGCATAGGCGATCACCTTGCAGCTGGCTTGATGACAGTGAACACCGGTCTGACATTCGGTTGAGCCAAAGTGGGAGACCCGCGGCTTGGTGATGCTCACAGTGATGTGAGAATCGGAAGGATGGGTTCTTATATCACATGGTTCGGTATACAGCTCGCACGGCTCATGAAATCTAAGAGCTCCACTGCAGCTCCGGTGATCGCATGCGTCCTCCGAGTTCGGCTCTCGGCTTCGGGTCATCTTGTACATAGGAGCTCATTCAACACATGCAAGCTGCAGAATGTAGATGATTGTAGAATTTCATAGAATCTCACTCATGAACCATTCTCTGACGGATTCATTACGTGAGCGCGGGCATATGGCAGTCATGAACACCACAAAAAGTGGGCCGATGTAAGCAAAGCACAGCAAAAAGCCATAGGCCTCAAGCAAACGGAAGCTGAGGGAGGACAGAACAGTCCTTAGGTCCTAGTACGTCTCTTAGGGCGTGATTTTCTTGAACTTCACCCGATCATCAACTCCCTTTTTCACGCTGAGCACTAAAAGCACGAGTGTACGAGGATACATTTGTGCCTCACTCATTTGCGTATCTATCGAATCCACCCAAAATGGACTCCTAATTAAACACTAGAAACCTTGGACTCCACACCATCGCTATGGACTCTGACAGCATTGCACGCCTTAGTGCGGTGTTGCCAGGTAACGCCAGTCTGTTTGGCTGTGCCAACTGACGCTCCTTCAGAAGATATGCATCGAGGTGGCTGTAGACAACACACCTGTTGAAGAAGGTGAAAGCCAGGCCGGATTCATTGATTAACATTGTACTTCTGCTTCAACCAAGGCAGCCACAATAAACTGTTGCTCCATACTTTATGATATTTCAAGATCCCACATGCGCATGCCAAGACCCCTCAGTTCAAAAGCATGATTTAAGTCTCTACAAGTCCCAAACCTGCATTGACATACTAGGAAAGCTTATATCGAATCCTGCTCCTGATCTCATCCGACCCATCTGCTGAGGCTGGGTGCCAACCCCCATTCAAAGGCAAGCCATGCGTCCAACCGACCTTCACCTCGACGCCAGGCTGTGGTACACATCAAACCCACCATCAGTACCATCACTCCATATGACGAATGAAGGGGTACATCACTCCGATGTCATTGGGTCATAAGGATTACCATGTAATTACCCAATGAATTGTTATGACATGTTATGACATGTTATGACTCCTTCACTATGTCAGTGGCAAGACCGATGGCAACGACCAATCATTTGCCACATGCACCCCTGTCCACTGACCGATCAGGGCCCGCAAGCATATAACAGAAACGCCTCGGCCACGCATGTGGCCGCCACGGCGGCCACAGAATTTGGACCTAGGGCAAAATGTGTTGCAGCCAGGGCTGCAAAGGCAAAGAGCCCCCCCTGCAAGTTGAAAGGTATAGTACTTGATCCATGCCAAACCCGTGGATTCCACCGGGTCTCCTGTGTTTTCCGGCAGTCGCCCCAAAACTCTGGATAGAAATTTCTGGTGCCGAATGACCCCCTTAACTTGATTCTATGATTCTTTCAAACCGGTTCCCAGTCTCCCTCTTTCCGCGACGGTCTTACCTATGAGCCTATGGGCTGCTTTGACCGATCTCGGGCTGTCATCGGATATGTCCGGAAGGAGTCTGGCAAGGCAAGGGAACCGTCACGGTAATGCTGGATGTAAGGCTTCGGGGCATTCGGCCAAACGACAGCAAGTTACGTAGCTGTAGCCATCCAGCAAGTGGTGCCCAAGGCCCCCCAAGTGAATAGACGTTGCGTTCCATCGAAACCTGCTCCGTCTTCCGCCAGGCGTCTAAAGGCGATCACTATGACGGCGGCATGGACCCACCTGGGGGAACTGGCGAACGTCCGCACCGATGTCCAGACGTGACCGAGACCTGTTGCAGACTTCGAAAATACCACTCCCACGGGCGTCGAAGAAGACTCCCACGGAAGGTCCATTGTCCAAAATATTCCAAAATGATGCCGGTGTAGTGCAACAACTCGTGGATCCTTATTGGTGGTCGCTGGGTCTGAGACCCAGCAAATCCCGGCACTGCACATGCGAATTGAGATGGTCTTACCAGCCAAAATACGGCCGTCCGATCCTGGCAAGGCACACGAGCACCATGGCCGACAAATTGGCCGAGCACACTGGAAACTGTAGCTAGAGGCCTGCCACAGCTCTAGATGCTCCAGTTTGGTCACCTCAAAGCCGCCACCGACTTCCCGATGCCCCTCCGTTCCGGAATCGGTCCGAACTGCCCGGCCCGGATCCCGCCTCAAGGTGCCTTTGGTGGTGCGGATCGCGTGAATCACCAGCCCCACGTCCTGGGATGGAGGTGGCACGCGAGGGCACGGTGTAACCCAGACCAGGGACCAGGGACCAGGATTCAAAGTGAAGTAGATGGCGGAATAGTGTGAGCTTGATGAACTCATTGAGGGGTGCTTGAAAAGCTTCAGTCTTCCAAGAGCTGCGAAGAAATGTAGTAGGAATGTGGCAGTTGCCAATTCACTGTTTTTTGGTTCTCGACGGATTCCTCATACAGTACCTGTCCTTGAAGAGCACGCTGGAGGACAGGATCAAGAAAATCACGCGCAGAAGTAGGCGTGACACCTCGCCCCGCAGTGTTTCAGTCCAATCATGTCCAATCAATAATTCCTCAACGTGTGGGAGAAACTCGATGTACTGCAACATTGCGAACACGTGCATTTGCTTCCACAAGACATCTGCAGCCCAGGAGTAGTCCTTCACATCAGGAGGTCGATCGCGCTCCTGTCAAGCATGGCATCAAGTGTGGACCCGACCCTGAGAAATGACAGGAGCTAGTGAAGCTCCGAAACAGAACGAGGAGGTTGGTTTACAACACACACACACACCAAAACATATCTATAATATATAGATAGAGGTCAAACATCAAGGATCAGCTGAAGACATATCCAACCGGCGCTTGTGCTGGACTTCACACCCTGAATCCTTCACAAGCTGGGCTTAGAGGCCTTCCGCAGCGTTGCGCTGGTTTTCAGCAAGGGATCATCTAGCACCTGGCATCTGTGAGGCCAGCAATGCTGAAGAGGTGGATTGAAGCTTTAGAATTAATTAGGCACCTGGAGTTCCCTCTAGCGAGGCCCTATCGACACTGGATTGAAATGAAGTTGCACCACCATTGTTGATCCTGTGCACTTGGGGCTTCGGATGGTTCACGCGATGCTTTCCACGAGTTGGTCTCTGCGGGCCAAGGACTCAGCTAAGTTCCTGTTCCCCCCACCCTCTTCAGCCCCCGGACCCATGCAGTTGTGATGTACTTCAAGGCAGCAGCAAAGATCGCCAAGGACAAGGGAGGACGGTACCTGCAGGGATTGATGCATGGCACGTCGGTGATTGATTCCTGCCTCCAATTGATTCTGAGCAGCTCGGCTCAAGGAATATATAGGACAATCATGGGTCAACCAAGTTAGGTTGTCTACCATCCCCAGGTGTTGGCCACGGCTCTGAAACTCTTCAGCTGCGCAAACAAACTTGACTGGACTAGTCCAGATGGGGCACAATGGATCCACCAAGACATTCTCGAGGGAGAACATTGGCAAAGCATAAACGTTGCCCTAAGTTCTTAGACTTCTTTCCCAACACCGTGCTCCTAGAGTGGACTGCGGCGGTTGCAGAAACAAACAATTGAGATGTTGCTTGCGCGTCTCCTTGCTCCTACTCCTGCGTTCCTTACCGCATTTGAGGTCATGCATGTTGTGCCCGTCGTCATGAAGTTGTCTTGATCCAAGGCATTGCAATTTAGGAAACCTTCCCGTTCACAAAACGACTGAAATCACAGGTGCGAAACACTTGCGGTTGGCAGTGCAATCACTGGGACCCGGCAAAGACAACAGTCAATAGTTCCATGTTGGTGCTCATAGAATCATTGAACTTCCATACAGTGCCTATACGCCAAATATGTTCACCAGCTACATGTTCAAGAAGGCCTGTGTCACTGCACCTGCACTGGAGGTCATGCTGATCATCTGTAAGCGGACCTGATTCAAGAAAGGATCTCAGAGCATGGCTCTCGTAGTGGCTCTCGTTCCGCATGGCCGCATGGATTCATTGAACTGCTTCGCTTCCCAGATTTCCATGGCTGGAAAAGCTCTTTCAAACATCTTTGGAAAGGCTTCGTTGTCACCCCCTGGGCATCCCGAGCTGCTGCATTCAGGCTAGGCCTTCCCCTGCTCACGGAGCCACGCAAGTCCTTCAAGTCTCAAAAGACTCCGAAAGCGCGTAGCTTCGAATCTGTGAAATGGGCCAAAGAGCAATACTTGCACGACCAGGAAAGGAGCCTAGAACTGTAGCGAGCGGGCACTACTCTCAGCCGATGAAAAATTCAGAATGCATCAGCAAGTCGTCCAAGACTGAACAAAGCTGGAAAACCCACTGTAGACACCCCAGCGTCCTGGAGAAAGGTCTTGAAGCCAAATCTCTGCCTTGGTCAGCCAACTACAGTCCTCCACTTTTACCCCAGTGGAGCTTGGAAGATAGAGTGCAAACTTGGTAAGACCATGGTAAGACCCATTCTATACCCTGAAAATCTCTCCAACGAGCCCTGGATCCTTCACTCCCACATCCCATCATATCTCATCCCAGATCCAAGAAGCTCCAGAAATTCGGGCAAAGACTTCACCGTCTCCAACTGCGGTGCCATGTGCAAGGCTTGGTGGGGCTTGCACTACGTGGTTCTGCCTGAGGCGATTTTCATGTTACCCAACTGGCCCCACGCGAACTTAGTGGCAAGAAGTGCGATAATTTTGGCAAATTAAAGAGTTCAGCAGTACGAGTTGCCCATTCTGCCAGTGAGCAAGAATTCTTCTCAACTTCCATCATGAGCCATCCACCCTTTTCAAGTGCGTCGCGTGTCCTCGTCACTTTGCGCTCTCTACACACCAATGAGTCTGGCCGCTCATGTTTTCAAGGCCCAGCCAAACAACCATCGGCGGAAACAGCGGAAACGGGAAGCCGGGCACAGGACAGCGGTCTCATTTTGAGGTGAATGCGTCTGCATTCGAAGTCATGATGAATCCAAAGCAGTTGAGATGCTTAGCCATGGGTGACTCAAACGTTGGCATTCGATGAATAGATTGGGATAAATCGCCGTGGAAAGCGCAACTCATGAGGATATTCAGCTTGGTCCGTGATGCCCGTGTCCATCCATATAATGACTCTGGGTGTGACTCGGATGCCCTGGCCTTCAAATGGTTCAAGACTGAACAGTGGCGGACTGTCACGAAGCACTTGGCAGGGTGTTGAATACGCAACATCAAGCACAGGCAACATCAAGCAACACCGAAACGCTGGCAGGTAAACCGTCCGGCAGAGTCAACCCCTGCAGACTAAATACCTATATGTATATAAATATGCAACCCAGTGGTTTGCAGGCTGCCCACTTTGATCTACAGGAGTCTAATGAGGCGGATTTGCGTGGCGAAGCCTTTTCTGCCTTCGTCGAGCAGTCAGCCACTGGAACGATGGAGGTCGTCTTGGTTATTCACCCCTCGCCGCGCACGGGGGAAAATGGGTTGTGACGCAATCTGCACAAGTTCAGTCAGCCCAGTAACATATCCGAAGACCCAGGTCACACTCTGGAACAGCTTCTTCTGCCAAAAGGATTATGAAGATCTGCGCTCACAGCTTGCACCTCGACTTCACATGACTGCAATAATTCAGCCCCTTGCAAGCATCTTGCGTCACTACCCATTGCTCCACGGGTTCTTTTCCAGCGAGGCCGCGAGGTCACTTGGCCGAAGCCACTGCCAAATCTCACGCACCTCAGAGTACAAATCGTTGATGGTTGGCAACCAAGCACGGGTTTGCAGCGTGCGCAGCACGATGCATCCAGCATTGTACATGAATCATGATACCGAAAAAGGAAAGGTCAAACCACCAAGAACCTGCAACTCATACAGTTCGCTGACAACTGGGCGCAACAAAAAGCAAAGACCGGGCGCCTCATTTCCGGAGACGACGAGGGACACGAACGCCTTCCATACACAGGCAATCTCCGAAAATGACCTGGAGGCAGAGCTGCGAGGGTAGCAACTACAAGCATTGACTTGCTACGTCATGCTGCCTACTGATGCTACAAGCCTAGAAGAAACGGGTGAAATGCGGCTTGATGCCGGCATCATCTTCGGGAATCTTCGGACCACAACACATTCAAGCCGAGCTTGATGGGCAGTGCAGCCCCCAAAAAAAAGAATCACCGGTCCTGTTCCCGGCACCCAGTGTCTCACTGCGCCGAGTCACAACACCATCGTATGCGTACATCGCCTTGGTGCTGCTGGAGAGCCAGTTGCCGGATGTTGCAGGGACAAAGTTTTGAACACGAGTGCCCATGGCCCAGGCACCAAATTGTGGCGGTGGGCATGCTGCCAAGTTGCCCAATATGCCCGGCAAAGATGAAGGATGCAAGGCATGTAGGTGCAGAATCCATAGAAGTCCTGCACGCACTTAGGGCTCTTCGGCAAACATGCTTTAAGCACTTGGTAGGGCAAACAATTCCTGTTGTCAAAACGCTTCTTCAGCACCTGTTGCAAACAATTCTGGGTGGGTGCATCCTTACACTCTGTTTTTCCGCCAACGGCCAGTGTCCACCGCATCCACCGCTTCTTCAACGGTCAGTTCGGCCTCGTGAGCAGCCCCACATTGGACCATGCTCAACTTAGGCTCAGAGCTCAAGAAGCCACAGTCAGTCAAAAAGGCTAAGCAGCACCTGAGCCATGGCAACTGCCAGCTGCTAGCTCGTGTCCACAAATAGGGCACATGAGATTTCTGGATGGCATAGTTTCCAGAAGTGTAGGTGAACCAGCTGTTCAAGGCCATCCCCTTACTGTCCGTGGCGGTCTTCAAAAATGGAAAATGAACTCAGAATCAAACGCAACTTTTGTTTGGCTTGGACTTGGACCATAAGTTATAGCTGGGAGCTGGATACGAACAAAAGTGAGGCCTTCCCCCTGCGCATTGCATGGCCGTGAGTGTGGAAGATCTGAGGAAGAGGCAAGTAGAAGATCATGTTCCAAAACATGGCGACCAACGGAAACTTCAAGAAGTTCAGGCTATTCGGCTGCACCTCCCAAGTGGGCCGCAACAGTATATCAGCTGCCCGTTCGCATGTTCGCACCGATGTGCACGGCCGATTCGCGCACAGAAACTGGTGTGCTTTGGAGTCTGCCAACACTACCCGCCTTGTCTAGAGTTGGCACAGGCTCCCCTCTGATGCTCTTCTCAATCTCGGTATTTGCTGGGATGAGCGGGCGATTGTGAACACCTGGGTGTAAGATTCCTGGGGTGAGGAGGCTACTAGTAGGGGGTTCCTGCTCTTCATCTGTTTTGCTGAAGCACGAAAGAAGTGAAGAAATCCAATGAGAGCACAATTGGACAGGGCCCTGACCAAGCGTGCAACCGGACCGGCACCACACCACACAAAGGCCTGCCACACTCCTCGTGCAAACCTGCGCGCTTGCGAGCGGAGCGATCGCGCTTGGACCACCGACCAAAGGAGCCACCTGGTTCCAAGGTTCCGGTGCCCCTGGGTCAAAATCAGGTCGGACGGCTCCCCCAGCGCAGTGATCGGGGCTGGTCAGATTGAAACATCAATACGTTGTTTTCAAAGGTGGTGGAATCAAGTATATGTGTCAAGCTTTTTGCTGGTCAACCAGAACCATAACTGTGTCGTGGGCTAGAAGACCCTCACCTACTCTAAATGTGAGCAATTTTCAATAAATGTACTGCAGTAATTCTGCTAATTGATTGTCAACCTTTCCGCACCATCTTGCATCCATGGGAGTCGAGTCCATATGCTTCTGGTTTCCCCAAGAGTTGCACCTACGATCTACGCACGATCTATGCATACGTGCTCAGTCCACACACTTCACCCCGCCCGAATTGCGCACACGCCGAAGACGGCGCATGAGCTTCCCAACACTGGCTGCTCTTCCACCGCACGCTCCAGAAAGAGTAGCGAGGCTCGGGTGGCATCTGCCAGCCACCACGTGGTGAGCCACACGAAAACCTACAGGGCCGGATCCGTGGACCAATCGGTTGACCAGGGTGACCAGGGTGCACCATCCATGAGTTACATGTTCCAAGACAGAACCAATCTCGAAATCTGCAAAAACAACACAGGTGGACCATGTCCTCTGACGCTTTGAAGCAGTGAAGGTTTCTCAGTCTCACAAATTGTCTTTGGGAGTCCGGACGTGCTTCCCCTGCAAAAACTTGTATGCCTGAGCCGCCGAGCCCAACCATTCAGGTAGATGACATCTCTCTGCAAACGGAGTCTCAGAAGCTTGAACATACGCGTCTTCAAAGACCTCCAACGGTTGGGACGCTCCCTGCATGGGACGTCCCACCGGCCTCTGCTTGGGGCCCCCCGACGGCGTCGGAGTTCTGCACGACCAGGAACCAGAAGCTAAAGCACCAGAGGATGTTGTTGTTGGAGAGGGCTCGCCTGGGAGGAGAGGATGCACAGTTGCGAAGAGGTACACCACACTTGTGGCACTCTTTTTGATCCCACATCCCTCAATCCAAAATACTTCAAAGTATTTATATATATATATACGTAAAGTTGCAACTTGCAACAGGAACTCCTCACGATCACCGTAAGACACCCCAAGCACCAACCAGCTGCTCGTCACCAAACGGGTTGGCTTGGCCCAATGGGCGACGCGCTTCGGCCCAACTCAGACGCGGCCACGTCACTGCGGAGCGTCTCGGACAAACATCAGGTCGGAGAAGATGGCGCCTCTGCCGTTTTGCGCCGTTATTCCGAGGACCTGCCCTGGTGGCCAGTGTGCCCGCTAGGACTCCGACCGACCCTCTAGTTGACTTTACCGGTTTGTGAGGAGAATGATCTTCCAAAAGCTCCGTTCCAGGGTCCACGCCAAATTCTAACCAGGCAAAAGTGGCCACACGCCCCTACAGTTTCCAATGTTCCTTCCACCAACCTGGTGCGTTCTTTTCTGCACGTTGCTCCTTTGCTGGACCGCAGCAGTGTCCTCTCTATCAGATATCAAGATCTGGATCTCCTCCGCTATTCCTCTCACCTGGTACCCGCAGTCATAGCTTCCGAAAAACGCATAGATACCTCCTCAGGAGGCAGCAAAGATGACAAAATCCTTGCAAAATGTGTCCACAAACAATGCAGACATTTTTGGCTTCGTTCAATATCTCCACATCTCTGGGCCCCGAGGTAACTTGCCAAATTTGCTAGGTCGAGCTGGCGGTCAGGGGCATGACATCGAGCTAGCTTGTGAAGCTATAGCATTCTTCTGAGAGAGCTGAGCCCCGCTGACAGTCAGGAATGATCAAAGGATCCTAGGGTGTGGATGTGTTTCTTCTGTTCTCCAATTCAATGTCAGAGTCGGGGTCCAGCATGAAAGGCGCTGTCTATTGGCTACGTTCATCTTGAAATGCCAAGTGGCTTGTCCGGATTTGGTACGCATAAAAACTTCAGCCCTGCTGAATTATTGGTCCTAAGAATGGTCGCTCCATGCTTTGAGGGTGTCAAATGACAGTAAAATTGCGGCCTCTCTGTCTGTCCAAGCGACACTGCTGGTGCGAGATTGGCTGGTACAGTTTCTGATCAAGTGAAAATGTGTCCTTTCTCAGGATGAATGTTCATAGCTTAGCTTCTCCTCCAATCCTTTGACTCCTTTGACTTTGTTAGTTCACGACCACATGGTGACTTTGAAGTCACATGCCTTCAATCTCAGGTCTCACAGTGATGGCACCTTTATGGCCGCTCTTCCGCCACGTAAGGCAACATCAGAAGGAAGTCCTTCCGCTCTGCCTCCACGCGCTCCGGCGCGGCCAGGATCTCGCGCGCCCGGCGCCGCGTGGGCTCCGAGAGCCGCAGCCAAAGGGCAAAGGGCAACGCTTTGCGCGGGCTGAAGTGATCCTCTGGCACCGCACGTGTGGCCTCTGCAACGCTTGGCCCGTTGCGGCCGGTGTGGAAACCGTGGGTTGTCTTTTTTCCGTTTTTTTTTTTTTCTTCGGCAGGGTTGAGGTGGGCATGCTTGGGCTGTATGGGAAGAAGGTTACCGTATATGGGGTAAAGGGGTTGATGGCGAATTGAGTGCGATAATGCTATGATGTACGGTTATATCATCTTATATATAACAGGTATGATTTGTGATGGCTTCTCCTGTGGAAATAATCAGCGCCTCGGCATAGTGTCTGGAGAGGAACTCCGCCGAGGGCAAATACCGAGGATCAGCACCCAGGTTGGGGGATCCGCCATGCCAAAGTCTCATATCACGGAGAAGGACATCGCCCGGCTTCAAAGGGCATGCGAAAACATAGCTGAGGTTGGCGTGAGAGAGGATGTAGCTCTCCTTCTGGAGGTGTGTGGCATATCCCCAGTCCTTACTCAGTTGGCTGGCCAAAGGCATCTGCTGAGTCTTGGGCACCAACCTTACAGGCCCATCTTGGCATGAAATGTCCGAGACGACAAAGTTGGCCACCAGCGCCGCAGGGGCTGGAGATGCATACATGGCCTCAAGCTGCAAATCCACATGCAGGCGTTGATGTGTGTCGGTCTCACCGAGAACGAAATCACCTCCACCACCAATGGCCACATACTCACCAAAAAGGGCTTCCAGCACCTTGACTACAGAGTCCACATCAAGAAGTTGAGCCCATGGCGTGAGGTGTACCATATGGTGCGATGTGGAAGCTCCTCCCCAGGAATATCTGCGAGGCCCTCTGTTCCCCACACGCTGCGGGTCGCGTGCCAATAAGTCCAAGGCTGCCCTGCTGCAAGCTTCTCTCAAGGCTGTTAGTAGTGGATCGCTTAAGGCTCCTCGCAGTACTGCCCAACCTTCACTCAAAATCGCCTGAGCTGCTCCTGCAGCATTCTCTGCGCTTGAGAATATTGGCAGCTCGGACTCGTCCGTGAGGGTCTTTCTGCTCACAAGCAGGTCATGGTGCTCTTCTGGCTTGCAAAACCGCAAGCCTGAGACTACTTTGGATTCTTGTTCGGGCTCCTGCTTCCACGGACTGCTTGCATGGGAAGAATTGTACATCAAACATGGTCCACCACTGTCTGGATCATGGGAGCCAGGGATGACAAATGTCCAGTGCCTGCACTGTGGCTCAGCTTGACAGAGGTAGCGGCACACCACCCCACTCTGTGCCAACTCTTTTTTGCTGGGCTCGGTCATCGCCCATGAACCCCAGGAAAAGCATGGCGTTTCCACGCAGCAATAGCTGTGAGTGAACAGGTTGTTCCAGCAATCCTCAGTTACATCATGACCAAAAGGAAGGTCCCCCGCTGGCTAGTCCCCTTTGTCACCCGCAGAATGGAACTACATTGAGATGAGCTGCGCTCCGACATGGATCTTCACCGTCACAGAACTCCCCACCAGCTGCGTTCATGCATCTCATGTCATAGGCGTCGAGAATGCAAAGTGACCAAAGGGCCCAAACGACATGGAGGAGAGTCAAACAAGTTCCGCTCCTACACATTCTGAATCTGAATGACCTTGAAAGGAAAGTCATCCGAGAACACACATCCGTTTCTATGTTCAAACCATGCCAGTGTGTAGGCCCAGCTCGCAGGACTTTGGCCAGCCCCGTTTTTTTCCTCTCCCTCCAACAATCATGGAAGCTGAGCAGAAGCCCCATGTAGAGGAACATGGCCATCCAAAGGTCTACATTCTACTTCCCATGAAGAACAGGGGGCCCAGATGTGACCAGGATTGGAGGGAGAGTCCAACACTCGAGTCGTCGTCTTACCGCGTGCGACAGGGCGAGGTGGACGAACAAGCAGCCAAGTTCGGTCTGCAAGGGTAGTATAACCCTGGACCCCTTCAAACAAACATGGACCCCCCGTAATGACCATTCACCTGCCTCTATACCCAGTGGTTTTGCTAAGATTGCTAAGTATGGTGAACCATCCGCCTAGTTTGCGCTGCTTGCCGCGGGGGATTTGGGGACCTGAGATCTGGCTGTCTGGCACCCGCAGCCTGGATAGGTGTAGCACACCATGCCAAGAAGCCAACCGAAAATCCATGATGGGTATGGCCTTGGTAGAAGCAGCGCTACCAAGTTTCATTTGTTTGTTTGATCTCAGGCGAAACGTCTTGCGGGAACAAAAGTAGTGCATGTCGAATATAAGATACATTCAATCACAGTACTTTCAAAAATGATCAGTGAATGTCGTGAGGATTCCAGAGGTATCTATCTTGATACCCTCCCTGGAACTAACATGGAAGTGGAAGATTGCTCCTTGGATTTTAGTTCCAGGGAGTGCATATGGCATATGGTTCTGATGCCCTGTAAATACCGAGCCGAGAAGTGCATTATTATTCCATTACCACGGGAGTATTCTGCTGAATGTCTCTCTCTCTCTCTCTTTCTCTTGGTCTGCGACTTGTCCCCACTCTCTTTGCCTCAGGACGCTGGCTTGCATCTTCCAAGTTTTCCGGAAAATCCATGGGATTGAAGATGTTTCGGGTGTCTGTCCGCCGGAAACTCTATCCGCGCGACCTCCAGTGCATGAAACACATCGATATCTGCCCCCATTGAGAAAGGAACCTCTGTCTGCACCGATCAAAGTCATCCATGACATGAAAGAACATGGACCCATGTATGAGTTGGAGGCCAACTGCCAGATGAGTCAGAGTCGCCCTCTGAGCTCCGAAACGCAAGATCACGTTGCCATAGCACGTGAAGCCGATCTCGGCTGCACCACCGAGTGCAATCCACCGGGTGCCGTGCGGCTTTTTGTGTAAGCGAACGAGAAGGGGGTGGGGTGGGGGTGTGTCTTTCTTCTACGGGGCCCGAGAGGTCATGGACTTTCACCGCTCTGGACTTTCACACGCACTCGCAGCTGAAGATTTCTCGCTTTGTGGGCCCTAGTTGTGGCCCACTGAGCCCCGTGCCATTAGGGCCAACGGATAAGAAGTTCGTGACGCCAGAATGACATCCTCACAAAAAGCAGCTTGATGGGATGGTATATGATGCTATGCGGAGGCCAAGGTCCGCAGGATCAAAAATCATGATCAATGAAACCGCCTGTTCTGGCCTACCTGCTTGGCCAAAAAAAAAACAGGTCAGTGGTGCCTGGTACCCTGGTATTGTCGCACCGCATGACTGGGACCTGGACGTAATGAAGCCAACCCAATGGCCTCAGCTAATTGGAACGATGCTAGGGAGACCAGATTTCCATCGATGTCCATCGAAGTCCTTCGGTCCATCCTTTTGAAGATCCAAAACGTTATATATATATATATATCTCTAGCACTGACTTGTTGGAGGATCCTAGCGCCGCAAAAAAGGAAAAACACAAAGGTCTGCATGGCGGTGATTCTGCGTCGCGTAAATCATCTTTGACCTGAGGCTCTGGCCCATCCTTATTCAAGGAATAGGCATAATGGCCTATGTCCTCGTCAACCTCATCAACCTCGTCCTTCTTTGGCTCCTTCACTCATCTTCACCCCGATTCTAGCTCTTTTTCGGGACATACGTCAAGCTGCCAAGGAGTGGATAAAGGATGATAAAGGGCTCTTGAAAGGATTGACATGGGAAAGTCTCAAGCATTGTCCACTGCATCCAGCAAAAAATCTCTCCGGTGCTGCCTTGGGCAGGGTGTTGATCCCGATTCCAGGGCTCTCCAAGCATCTGAGCTTGTCAGAGCTTCACCCCAAGTTGTTCCTTCCAAATAACACCCCTCCACGCCACGCCCCTCCTGAGTTTGAGCTTGGCCTCTGAAGGCAAAGGCGACCCTGTCGGAGTGCGAACGACGCCAGTGACCGGGGAATGGATCAGCCGAACGTTCACGAACGGTGGCATGTCTCGCACGGATTGGCATCTGTTCGTTCAGATTCGCCATGATGTGCCCTAAGCCAGCACGGTCGCACGTGATCGGGATGGCAAGAGAAGCCCTTAGATTCAACGTGCCCCACCGACTGCAAGAATCGAACATCCGTTAACATCGCTTTATGCCTAATGGACTCAAGGATGAAGCACCCCCTCCATCCACCAAGTCAAAAAGGACGACACTCGGCCTGCTCTGGTCCGGTGCCTGCAGGGCATGATCTCCACAAGTTAGATCATGTCCAGTCAGATTCTGACTCCGAGGACGGAGCATCTGGGCTCCCAGGTTAGAAGGTCATACTGCCAGGCCAGCCTTGGAGTCCGTTCTCCAGGACCAAGGTCTTAGTGACTGAGAAACCGCGTGCGGCGATGTGTGACTTGGATCTGAAAAAGGAGGATCCCCAAAGCAATGATTCCATCAGCATTGAAGCGACGTGGGGGAGGTCCTCACTAAATTCAGTTCATGAGCATGTAGCTGTTGTAGCTGTGCCAGTCAATACCACATGGTCTTCTAGGGAGTCTATACCCACATAACCCTGCCTCGTTCAAATAAAGCAATCTAATCTCTTTCACTGTATGTAATAGCGAAGGGAGTAACAACTTCAACACATGATGGGGGAATGTTGTGGGGGCATCTATATAATCTCATACGTAGCATTCTGCATCACAAGAAGCACCAATCAGCCAAATGGTCTTGCTCCGGATCCAAGATCTGGGCTCTAAAAGGAGGAGGAGGCTACATAGGAACATGAGCCATCTTCGCCAGCGCTTCTCCCTCAGCACCCGAGGAAACAAGCAAATTACATAAACACCAAGACTTGGCGGCCTGTGGCTGCACCTATGCCAAACCTCAATATTCCATCACTTTGGACTTTTGACTCGAAGTGGCTTATACTACCGACCGGTGACTTAGGACTTGTGTGGGCCAGTGACATAGTAGTTGTGGCCCACTACCCCTAAGTCATTGGGAACACAAAAATTACAGAGTTGCTGATTCAAGCCTCATGACTTGGGAATTGTCGCCAGCTGATGACCAAGCAGTTCTATTTTTTTTTCAGGGAGGGAGGGGAATTGATGCACACAGAACAAATGACATAAGAATCGGCCTGCTCATCATGTTTCATCATGTCTCCTGGTACTTACAACTCCTATCTCACGTCATTTATTCATCTTTTCAGGCAGCTTTCTGTTTTTTTAAAGCTATTCTTGTGTGACCATGTGTTGATGTGTTTCTCTACTTTAAAGTCCATGACATAGGAGTTGTAAAACCCACCATACGTTTTACAACTCCTTTGTCACTAGTCGAGAGTATAGGTGTTTCAAATATCTGGAGATCTATCTGCGGTCACATCTGCAGTACAAGACACACGGCCATGGTGCGGCTCACGCCAGCGCCACCTGCACGTTTTTTTGTGTGGGCGAATGGAAGGTAGGACCTGGCCTTAGGTCAAACTCTTAGCATGTTCCCCTGATCTAAGGCCAGGTCTCCTTTGATCTAAGGCTGGATCTGGTCTAACTCAGATCTCCTCTCTCTGTCATCCCCCACCTGCCGCTGGAAGGCCCGCGTGGCCCCTCTACACGCGCTCAAGGCGCCCGCAAGCTACGAGCCACGCACCAAAGCCGGGCGGTGAAAGAAAGGCAGGCCGAGGCTGGAGAAATGCCAGGGCTGCCAGAATGTCTCTTTGTCAGTTTGCTGAAGAGAGAAAACAGGTAGGTCTAGTTAGGCGTGGAGATTCCGAGATCCACCCGCTGTGTTCGTCGTCTCACAGTTTCACTGAAGACAATTCATGATGCACTTGAGGCATGACCACCTTGGACCCTCAACACCAGCAGCATCCGAAGGCGAGTCACCACCACGTTAAGATGAATTATATAAGCATATCATGCATATATCAGTGTATGACACAGTCAGCAAATGCATGGAAGATGCGCATGCAAGATCCAAGCCAACTAAGTAAGAAGTTTCTGCTTGGAGCGTTGGTTTGGACACACACCAGCGCCAACATGACAACTCAATTCTTCTGACGACCCCTTCCCAGGTACCATCCTTAGCTCATTCCCTCTGCCGTCATGCAGCCCCGCTTGGGGCCGATCGCCTGCGCCAGCATGCCCATGAGCACCGAAAGCTCGGTGTCCTGAGCACCGAAGGCTTGACACCTACCGGCGCCTGCGACCTGCGACCCAAGGCTGGACAGCCCGCCCCCCAAGTCCGAAACCAGCATGAGACCTGGGAGTGGAACCAGCATAGACCCCCGCTTAAGGCTTCGATCAAACCGTGGCCTATCGGATTATTGAGGTCGAAGTCTTCAGCTAGAGGTGTCCGAAAAGTGACCGTAAGGGGATTCACTGGATTGTGGCAGCCAAGCGTTCATGGCAACGGTGCGTTTTAAATCCTTCCATGTCAGTTCTTCCTATCATTGAAATGCAGAAGTCCCAAAGTTAGGGAATTTGGACCGTCATGAGACCGTTTATATAATAGAATAGATGTTTATATACTGTTACCCCACGACGGAACATGATGCTGCGACAGCAATCGAAGTCAATACGAGCGGAACACTCTGCTCAAATACTTGGTCAATGGATGTCAATGGAATCAGATTTGGAGGGTTGATGGTCGCTGAAAGTCTCCATGAACATGGTTGCATCTGAAACCACAAGGGGTAGGATTGGAAATGGATTAGCGGGTGTTGCTGTTCTATAGTACACCTGGCAACTTGCTCGCCGCCGTCATGAGGACATGCCTCTCACCCGACCACTGCTCTGCACCAAAGTCCAAGACATTTTTCGCACCTGTCGCAGGCTGTACATCGTGGGCCGCATTGCAACCATGACTTGCATGGTGCATGCACCGGTTTTGACCAGCCCTAGCTTGGTCCAAAGACATTGCGGGCCTCCGTGCGGCTTTTTTTGACAGTCCCGCATCTTCTGAAACTGACAAACACATTGACCATCATGAGCATCTCTACAAGACTGAACGGCACATTCGCTAGCTTCACCTCTCATCTACCATTCCTCTGCGCTGTTTCTCTTCATTGGGATCTTGCTCCTTGGCCAGCTCGGACCAGGGATGCCAAACGTTACACCGTGGTCGGAGCTCAAATGCCATATTGAAGCGCGGCCGGTTTGGCACCACACTGGGCTGCACACGATGGAGACATGCTGGATGCCAGCCACCACTGAGACGTTCCAGAGTTTCACCCACCAAAATCAAGAAGGGCACATGGGGCTCCTCTCCTCTGCAAGTGAGTGCTTGAATCTTCCTTTCCCACCATGTGTTCTGATTTGCTGCTGTGGCCCCCTTTTCTTTTTAAACACCGGCCAGGTCAGGTGTCAAACCCTCAAAGCATGCCCATATTTTCAGGATTCCCCAGGTCTCCTTGGCCCAAAGCATCCATCATCGGCTCCAGGTCGCACCAGCTGTCCTCATAGGCCGCTGGCTGCCCTGGCGCCCCACCGGGCTTCAGCGGGTGCAGGGCCTGTAGCCCAGGCTCGGTGGAGCGGCACAGAACGGTGAGAAGCCCAGGATCTGCGTGAGAGCGGCAGGGCTCCTCATCACAGGTCTCCAGATTGAAGTAGTGGTAGAGGTTCAAGACGGACTTCCCCTTCCCCTCCTGCCGAATTTCGATCGAACGTCTTACAACGAGGATTTGGGGTTTTCTGTGGCCGCCATCGAACACAGCCAATGTGGAGGCCAACAACCTGGACGTTTTCCCTTCAACAACGACACCTCCTGGGAGTTGCCAAACGAGAGATCCCCAAACTTCTGCTTGGCGGTTGCCACTGGAAGCCCTTGCGATGCACACCAGGCTTCCATGGCCACTTCCGCGAGGCTTTCCTAGGGGTGCAGGGAAGCCTAACGTAGCCTAACCCCTAAACCGCATCCCCGGCCCATACCACTGAAGTACCTTCGCTGATTTGGAATAAGAGTCATTTTTGGAGGCCTTCCGTTTGAGCTAAAGCCTGGACTGAGTGAGCTGCCTGCATGTTCAGTCGGGAAACTTGTCCAAAAAAGCGCCCAATGGACATTATATATATATAGATAAGGTCAAGCGGTCAAGCGGTGAAAACCCCCCGACTGGGCATGTTTTGCCTTTCCGACCGATGGCCCAAGGCGATGTCGGCGATGTTTGCCTTTGATCGCAACTGAAGGCAGGCAGGCAACCATGACTTCAAAGGAGCACAGCATAAAGTCATTTGGATCGGCAGCTTCCAGGCTCGTGCGCCGAACCTACGTCCTTTCCTGCGCACAAGAAGACCGAAGCCAAGCTGACCTGGCATAAGACGATAATTAAAGCTTCGCCGTAAAGAAGAAAGACAAAGTAAAGGCAACTCAAAGTAGCAAAACTGGAGTGACCACTGCCGGTCACCTACCCCTGAAGTGATCATCTACCACTCCTTGTGCTTTCCCAAAGCTCCACCCGTCCTTCAGCTCTCCTTGCCGTTTGAAGCTCCACACGAAGCCTCCGCTGTGGCCACTTGAACCGCGTGGCGTCGCCCGGTCGAGCTCTGCCACCACAGGGGCCGCACGCCAAAGGGGCACAGCGCACACCGCGAAGCTCTGGCGGGTGAGCTCAGCCACAAAGGCCTGGGCCCAGTTTAGATGAGGAAAATGAGCTTCTGCTCACAAACTCGATAGAAACCGAATAGTCCAAATGCATCTTGAAAGGGCATTTCGACTCTCCCTGTTTTGGAAGTTTAAAGGGTCCTCACTGCAGCAAGTGTATTTGAATACAATGTGCATATTTGTGTGCATAAAGGATATAAAGGTGGGAAAATGTGTTGAACCTTCTGCATGGTGTGTATAGAATCTCCAACTGCCCTCTTGGGAATAATAGAAGGGTCGATTTGGTACCATATACCCCTTGGTTGTACACCTTGTTGTATCCCCTCTATAAGCCAACCAAACCAATGGTAAAAGGCCTTCTATGTGGCAAATGTCTCACCCTCAACTGACTTCGTGAGCCCAGCACCCTTCCCCACTCGTCTCCCACCGCCTCAGGATCCAGAAAGCGGGCCCCCGCAGAATCAAGCCAGTGGAGCCGGGCCATTGGTGGCCGGCAGCGTGACTGCGGGGGGCGTGACTCCCAAATAAGGAACACAAGCCAGTCGGGGGGCTCCAGATTTATTGAAGATCAACCTTGAACAGGCAGGGTCTGACCAAATATGCCGGAACATTGTTCAACATGTTGATGTAAACTGTACAGGTGGTGCGAAATTGTTCAAAGTTCGGGTCTGCATAGCCAGCACTCTCATGGATTTTGAGCTGATAAGGGCTTCGGGGATGGGAACTTCCCACAAGTTCCCACAAGTCACGAGGCCTGCAAGGTTCTTGATCTCTCCCTCCCTCCCTCCCTCCCTCCCGCCCGCCCGCCCTCCCTCCCTCTCTTTCTCTCGCTCTCCCGCTCCCCGAGATAGCTCAAGCCGCCTCAGTTCTTTTCCCAGATGACCCGACCGGAGCATCTATATACTCTGTTCAATGGCATGTGCACACAGAAGCACATCACCTCAACCGCCGCAACTGTCATGTCCTTCTCGTCGTCCCCGTACCAGCTGGTGATCTGGCGGCACATCGGCATGCATCTCGAAAGAGAAGACCCACTGACCGCATCTGACCACCCCTTATACCGCTTATACCCACTCAAACGCTAGCAAAGACACTGGAAGGACGAGCCAGCAAGGCCAACATCCCATTCTCTGGAAGAAGGCCTAGTGCCAATGGGGAGTTGTCCACCAAGAGTAAATCCTCAGCTCGGCTGTCATGGGCCACTCCACCTTTACAGAAGCCGTCTCAATGTCAAACTGCTTGGCTAAGGATCCTTTCTCAAAACCAAGATAAATTTAGGATAACTACAGTGATGAGGCCCAAAGAGTCTTCGTCCAATGCCTCCTCGCACGCTGGGCTCTTCGCATCCAAAGGCCTCCCGAGGCGGCGCAAGTCCTGGCAAGCAAGCAGAAGCCGCCACAGGCGTCAACGGCAGCGGGCACAAACGGAACAAACAAACTGGAAAGTTGAAACTAAACTTGGATATCCTGCCATCCACATACATCCACCCTATTACATTCAGTGAAAAACACAACCCCTCAAGCCTTGAAATGGCCTCCCGCGAGCTCTGAGCAAGCCTTGCTGAGCGAAACGCGCACGCGGAGAAAGTGGGTTCTGAGATGGCTTGTATATGAGGACCTCTCCAAATAAGACATGTTTCCGCATATAATTTGTCAACATGTCCCTTCTGGCATTGGTGGAGGCACAGCTATTTGAAAGAGAAGAACCTGAGCTGGGAGAGACACACGGGTCCCTCTTGTTAGGTCCTGCTTGGTCCAACAGAGGTGTTCCCGGTCGTTTGCCCGGCACCTCTCGGTAGAGGCGGTGTGCGATCAGCTTGCGTCCTGACCGTCCGGCATCGGGGACAAGAGGTGTTGGGACAAGTTCCATGGCACAAGAAGTGCACATGAACTGATGTAGCATGTCAGACGTGCTCCGCGAAGGGAATGGACGCCACCGAGTGGAATGCGGAAGGGGAATCAAATGAATTTAAGATCTCTCTCGGACTCAGTGATCTACAGCTACTTCGATAGCTTTCATTTTGGGATTCTCCCACTGAACCATGCCTTTGCCACTCCACCTCTCTATGTCCAATCCGCCTGGATCCAGCCCGTCGAGCACTTTGTCCGCATAGATGGCTGCAGAGGCCGTGAAGACCACGACCTCAGAGATCAGCCACAAAAGACCACTCAAGCCACCGAGGCGGTCCCTGAGCCTACAATACTCCATTGTTACTAAATGTTGCTAGTAGCTTCTTGTTCCGTTCGTCGCGATGGCCTCTCACCTACTTGCGGTGGCGGCATCTTTTTGTGTCGAACTTCTGCGCTACTCTTTGCCCAACGCAACTTCTGCGCAGACAAGAGGGTCAAACTGCAAAGCAACATGGTAAGCACTGAGTAGATCTGACTGCAGTCTGCACAACGGAACGCTTCTGCTTGAGCCGGGGAAACTGTGTCCCTTCCGAATCGCCTTAAAAAGTTCCTGCCACCGGCGTGGCGTTGGGAGCATCCACACTTGGTGAGCATCACAGACGCCACGCAGGCGGACGAAACGAGTGGCTCACAGACTTGGGGGACAACTTGGGAGCTCACCATCGCGGCTAAACGGCTAACCATCTGAACAGTGAGGATGGGCAGTGGGGACTGTGGCACCCCAAATCCTGCTCGGTTTCTCGCCTGAGGCCAAAGCAGCTGTTCCTCCACGAAACCACAACCCCTGTTTGTACAACAACGCCTGCTATGAAACGAACAACGCGCGGGCGTTCTGGAGACCAAACGGTCACTCCCAAATGTCACCACTCAGGTCGACAGGTCCTACGACCTGTCCCTACACTGTCCCTCAGGTCGCCAGCACTCACCGTGCATCATTTCGTCTCTTGGAAGTAGAGCGCTTCGCAAAATTGGCTGATCACCTGACCAAGCAACACCCTGACCACCAAAACCGCAGATGGTACACGGATATATCATCTCCAGCTACAAGGAGGAGCTCCCACAAGAGTTGCAGGGTGGGGGTTGTTCAAGAAAGTCCTTCGTGGCTCTCCAAGGTCCCTCACGGTCTGATCAGCAAAGGCTTGGATGAAGGCCTGGCGTGTGGGCGCCCAAACCCTGTGGCGGCCATTTGGCCCAGGCGACCTACTCATCCTACTCTTTCTGGTGTTGAAAGTTGACATTTGGATGCATGTTGGTCATTTTCGGGCACCAGGTAAGACCTGATTTCGATATCGTCTTTGTAAGCTCTTGAGGCACAAGGGCCGCATGCAGGAGATTGCAGGGTTTGCCAAAAACAAGAGCTCGCTTTGCTCAAACACTTAGTAACTGTATTCCACGAGTCTGGTAGTTTAACGCTGTTGATGTGTGCCGAAACCGGGAATCAGCTACAAGACATCCGTTTTACACACTCAGAACCGCCCTGTGTCATTTTACAACAATTCGGCGGTATACGAAGTTGTGAGAAACAAACATGCATGCAGGTGGAGGGTTGCGGCAGCACCCAGCTGCCTCTTAGCACACAATATCCACATCGCCCGTAGACTCTCCCAGGCCTCTGTGCAAGTTGAGTCCTTGCCCGGGAGACTGAGTGATGCGACTGAGTGATGCAACTCTCATCAGGATGGAGAGTTGAACTGACGTCTGCGGAGGCACTGAGAAAAAATAACCGACGTCATGGCCCAATCTGGCATTTGCCTTGCCATAAAAGGCAGAAAGAAACCGCATCATCCCCAGAACAGCTCAAATCCCCAAGGCACAAGGGACAGGAGCTCTCCTGCAAGACCTCTTTCGCCAACGAGATGCAGCCACCGAAAAGAGCAGCCAGTGGGACAGTTCCCTCCTATGACCCCGAACGTGGCAGATTGATCAGTGGAAGCATCAAGAATCATGAAGCAAAAGTACTTGTATGGCTTGGAGCAGGGAAGCTACAGCTAAATCACACATGCGTCTTGCCAGAATCGTCCCCAGCAAAACCACTACGTGCTCAGATTGAAACATTGAAGCCCTTGGGCATAATGATCATCCAGTCAGAAAGGAGGTTGTCGATAATGAGGTTACTACATCATGACACTTAAAGTGATACAATGTGATGAACAGACTTCAGTGAAGGCGATAAGTTGACCAAGAGACACCCACACGAAGCTCATACGGCGACATTACATCTTCCAGTCCTTGAGCGCTTCAGCCTGGCCGAGCGGAAGGCATTGACATTCTACAGCACCATGCAGGCATTTAAATTATGCATGCAGCATGCAGCGATGGCCTCCAACCTAAAAGCGATGGCCTCCAACCTATTAGCATTAGATAAAACGTGGCTGAGAGGGCAACATCTGCGTACTGTACCACATCTTCTCATATCTCTGATTCTGTCGGGGGTCTTATCCGTCCCGGCCTTCGAAACAATATAACAAGTAGAATAATTCTAGCAACATTATACCCCACCTAGTTCAGTCCGTCCAACCTCTCATTGTGACACCAGACGAGGACCATAACCTTCGGAATGTCATGCCTTGTTGGTGGCCTTTCCCAGATCGAAGGGCAATCGCTCGGCGGCCGCTGAGGTCACCGATCTGCGGTCCCCGACACGCGGTCCGCGACGCGGTCCGCGACGCGGTCCGCGGGCGGACGTCACAAACCCCACGGTTTGGGAAATAAGACATGACAAACAAAAATCAACACATATGCGATGTAAAGGGAACTTGAAGAAATAACACATCAAAAGAATATTTGTTGAAAAGAACCGGGGAAGAATGATTCTTGAATTGGAAAATATTGACAGTAAGTCGTCGATGAGATAGTACTGAATGTCCATGGTCCATGGGTAAGTAGACTGAGGAGGAAGTTCAATCTACTCTATTTTTTCTGCCACCTGTTGCGTTCAGCCTCAGAGTGCATGTGCAACAGGTACGCTTGGGGCATGTGTCTCCCTCAAATTCCCCACACCTTCGTATCTTGAAGGTGGAGTTCTGCGATGTTTTTGGCCCTGTCGCCCCCTCGCTGCGGCCTCAACGCCTGCAAGAGCTGCGGGCTTTCCAGATAATCCCGAGCTTCATCCAGCAAAGGCTTGGCCTGCGTCAAGGCTGTGCAGGGCAGGATTGCCCCTGCGCCGCCCTCTTGCCCAAGTCTTCCATGGCACCTGGGACCATCTGAACCCATCTTCCCCCACTTTTTGCTCACGGACCAGCAGAAATCCAGTCACGTGGACGTGGAAGGTGTATAAAAGCCCAAGCGGGCTGCTTCTATGTACAAAGGCCATCTGCTGCCTTTGGCAACCGGCTGGCCTCAGTTTTGAGTACTACTCACAAAAATGCTCAAAAGGGCATCTCTATGCAAGCCCAGTACAGTACTCATGCATGGGTTCAACATCACCCACCCTTTTTTCAATTTCTGCAAATAAAGCTGCTGCAGAAGAGCTGACACGCATTCAACACACCAAACCAGAAGTTTCTGGCTTGTCCTGCAACAGACTCGATGCAACTTCTGTGCTGAGCCTGAACTGCACATTGCAGGGTGTCTCATCCGCACCATCTCCAAACCCGAGGTTTGTTCGAGATGTCCTCAGACCAAAGAGTCAGTTGCAAATGAAAACTTAAGCATGCTTAGGCCCTAGTCAAAAGGATTTGGCCTTCAGGCACCCCATCTCTCAAGTGACTTAGTGGTCAGGCAGCACCCTTCTCTTCTGCATCATTCTGCATGATTCGAGGTTCGTGTACGATCCACCGTCTAAACCCACGAGCCAACCGCGTGAACCGCGGCCAAGTCGCCGTTGGGATCCATCGGAGCTCGGTGCTTTCCCGCGCCTTGCCCACGGACCTGGGCGACACAAGTCTGTGACTTGGTGGGGGCTCATGGAATATGCATCCTGTATAGAATAGATGTTTTCTATCTTTATGTCAATGACAGGGGCGGGAATTGAAGGCTATTATATAATGAGAACCATGATGGTGAGGGTGCAAAGTCACTGTAATTAGATAGAAGTTGTTGAATCGTTAGCCGCTAGCCTATTCGGTTGGGTGCGTCCTGACCACAGGTGGCCAACATGGCGTCCTGCAACAAAATAACAACTGAGTCAGGAACGCCATGTCGATATACCAGGTCTCTTGCAACCACACCTGTGTCGGTGTCAGGCAGGCATTGAGTCAGCAAAGTAGGAACGGACACGGCAAGTGGCCACTGATGCCATGCCGCCCAGCGAAGAGAAGGAAGTGGAAGGCTTTCGCTAATACACTGCATGGGCACATGCAAATGGAAGGTCTTGAAACTATATATACAACCCTAGCGGGCTGAGAGCGAAAGCCGAGAAAGAAAAGAACCTCACTGGATTTCACTCGTCATCTATCTTCAGCACATTCTCCGCGATCTCCTGTATATTCTTTTTAATCCTTTACTGTACTCAAGCTTCAGGGCGCACACAGAAGGGGAGAATCCCGGTAACGGCGCCACTCTGTGCCCCCCCCCCCCGTGTGCCCCAAAAACACCCCGGTCTGGCTCAAAAACACCCAGCTTCCGGCAGTTCAAAGATCTGAAACCCCTCCAGGCGCACCTTGTCATCATGCTCTGTGAGAGCAATGGAGGCGGTTTGACCATCGCTCTCACGCGTGATGTGAACGTCCGTGCCGTCCACCACGTAGAGCCTCCGCAAGGGTCTAATAAGCTATCAAATGAATAGATATCTCGTTGAATAGGCTTGGATTCCTGACACTCACTGACACACATTGACAGCATTCCCCGCCCTCCCAAGTCTTCCATTGAGCTCAAAATTGGGTTTGGGGTGGCCGCTGACCCCCGTTAGTGGACCTGATCCAGCATGACTCTGTCACACTATATAGCAACAGGCGCGTAAGCCACCGCCTTAAATCATCATTTACCAGTGTTTTCCCGCTTTCCCTCAAGCTTAGGGGCAGATCTTCCAAGGCATCGCGCCATTGTCCTTGTATTCCTGACGCAAAGTGGCGACGTAGCCGAACCGAAACCACGAAGAAACCCGGAAGCGTCAAAACATGGATCAATGCAAAAAAATGTTTTCCAGGCCTGCAATGATGGCAGACCTGAGTGCCAATAGTCCGAATGTGAACTTCTGGGATGGTATCGGGTCTTCAGAATTGGCTTGCTCAGGTTCAAACCACAAAACTGGCATTGACCATGATTCCCCCCCAACCATCTGACTCGCCTGCGGGGCGCTTGACATGTCAATCTGTAGAATCACAGGCGACAACACGTGTGCAAGGGGTGGCATGTATGTTGCGCAGGAGGCCATTCAAAGACATGGTCTAGTTTTTCTACAAAGCTGTGGAAATGTCTCTGACAGAAAGGTCCATGCCTTTGAGCTACAGTCCTATATGCACGAATCATCACGAACCCACCTCCTGTGAAGAGGAAGCTGCTAGCATCCAGGAAATCCCGTACACCAGGGAAAGCATCGGCCAAGAGCGCGGGCATGTCATAACCTCAAATTGCATCGACCGGACCCGCGCCGTCGGGACTAGATTAATCATGCACAGAGTCATAAGGAGTTTCAACCTGACAGAAGGGGCCGAGGCATGACCTTCGTGACAGTACTCTCCACATCCAACGTCCGCGTCGATTTGAAGGTCACTGTCTCACTGGTCACCAGGCTGCCCAACGGTCGGGCTCGCGCGAGGAGACCAAGTAGACGCGATTGACCTCGGTGACTTGTATATAATGGTCAACTCAACAAATTCAGTGAATCCTCTGCTGGAAGTATCGTGAGCTCATTGATGTGGGCTCCACCAGGGACCCTGGCGCCATGGCAAGCAAGCTCATCTCGGATGTTCTTCAGAGTAACGGCCTGACCGTTAGGGAGGCTCCAGGGTCGATAAACTCGAATTCAACGAGTTCAACGTGCCTCCTCCACTCGGTTATCCTCCTTATTATTCCACACATCGAGGTCAATCTTCGTTCTAACCTCGGCACGTGGTCATGTGCATGTGGGTATGGTTCCTGAACAGGCCGTGAGCAACCGCCCAACCATGCCAGGAAGTATATGCTTCCTGGCTACGTCAATCCCTCTTGCTGCTAGTCCCTAGGCCCGCGCCATGAAATAAGGCACATCGTATTTCTCAAGCTCCTCGACTCAAGTGACAGACAGTGACAAAGAGCTGTTGTGAATCTTTAAGAGTTGTCACTTGACAATAGTTAATCGCACCCACTCACACACACAAATACATATATCTATCACTTACACCCTCCAAGACGTCTCCTTTGGAGGGTTGTTAGGCCCTGACAGGTGTCAACTGGTGACCTGTTGGAGGGTGCTGTTATAGAACTATATAAAGATATATATATATACATTTTTGCTCTCCTTCTGCAGCTCTGAACTTTTTCCATCCAGGCTTCTGTCTGGTCTAACTGTCACAACGAAATGCGAGCGAGCAGGTTGGCGTAGTGAAGGAGGAACTGCATAGTGAAGGAGGAACTGCATCCAAGTGTTGAAAAAAAGAAGTCAAGCACTGCAGTCGTCTTCCAAGCAAAGCCAACACATCCAGGGTGGCCGCGGGGGAGCGGCTGAACGGCTGCGTCAGTCAAGAAAACATTTGAAGCATGTTTGCTCTCCTTCTGCAGCTCTGAACTTGTTACATCCAGGCTTCTGTCTGGTCTAACTGTCACAACAAAAGGCGAGCGAGCAGGTTGGCGTAGTGAAGGAGGAACTGCATCCAAGTGTTGAAAAAAAGAAGTCAAGCGCTGCAGTCGTCTTCCAAGCAAAGCCAACACATCCGCCTATTGGAAGGGACCAGACACAGCGCCAAGCAAGGCGAAGGAGATGTGTCGCGTCCCCATCTAATAACTGTCAGCCAGGGTGGCCCTGTGCTCTCGAATCAGCTGATCAAACAGGGCAGAACATTTACGAATTTGGCATTGAGAAGAATAGGGGAGTTGAGGGAAAATACTCAAAGCTTCGGCTTGCTGCAGATAGTGCTGCAGGGTATATACATTCTTCAACCGTATGTCCCACGTCAGGTTCTGAATCGGAGTGTCTGATCTGTAAGACTTGACAGCTCCCCCAGCTCTCAATGAGGCTGGAGTAAGACCAACTGCACAAGGAATGTCAAGAGCTCTCAAGAGCAAATCCCACCGTCTTCTGAACATGCCTGGAGAACCTAAAAGCTAAGGATCTTCAGATTTCAATCCCCCAAAAACATACTCCAGGAAAAGTGCGAAGTCAAGGCCGCAAATTTTTGCGTGTTGAACACTTCCAATGCCTCTGCGCTTTCCCTTTGGGTTCAGGATTTTTAAGAAAACAGTGGTGTGATCTTAATTTGGGAGGTCGCAAGGCAACAAAAGATCACATCTGCTCGCTCTCAAAGTTTCGCCAGGCCTGCAAATGCCTTCAAAAGCAAGAACTAAAATTCCTGCCACATGGAACCAGGACCACAGGATGCTGAGAGAAACCATGGCTCTGTAAATGGCAGCAGGGAGGGGGACCCGGTGCGAAACAGGTTCTTGGAGTTCCCACTTACTTACTAGTTGCCAAACCATGCCAAGATGCGGTCGAATCTCAGGTCTCATAGGTGAGGATCTGTCGGAGAAGATAAATGGAGTCACCGCGCTGACATTACAGCGTCCAAAAGATGTAGCAGGAGAGGTAGAGTGAACAGGCATCCACTCAAAGATTCAAAAGTCTCGACATCCAAATGCGATTGGCCCCACTGCCAAACTCTGAAACCAAGCTCTTCAGTGGATGTTTCGACCAAGAGAACCTCATCGAGTGTAGATGCACTTCTGACAGTAGACTTCTTTCGTCTAGGACCTGGTGTCTTCGCTTCTCCTATTCGCTTATGCTGCGCTCGGGCGGCTGCAGAAACGTCCAGCTTTTTCCTTTCGGGCAAAAGACCAGAGTCGATCAGCATTGCTGTCGCTAGCCACAAACACAGTCGTTTGGGATAGACCTGTGCAACACGTGTTTTTGGGGTCTTGTATTTCTTGGACCGTCCAACTATATAGTCTGACATGCCTGTGATCTCTACTGCAAAACAAGCTCTGACCTTGGAGATGAAGGTCTGTGAAGATTCGTTCTCTTTCTCCATGGTTAATTCAGTCTGCAGTAGTCC